TGAGGTAGGATGCAGCTGTTACTTTAATTGCTTAACGCTTTGCAAGAATGGAAATTTTGTCATGAATAAAGTGTTTGTTTAAAGTTAAAAGAATTTTAACTACGATGTTTTATTCTGATAAATATTGAACTATGCATTACATATTATTTATCAATATACTCAAAAAATATATTTATGCTTAAAACATAATAAACCTATTAAGAGTTTCCTTTTCATTTAAAATGTTACTACTTAGGACCTAAGAGAACTTGTTCAAATCGAAACGTTTATCCCCAGTTCCATCCCTAACTCCATTTTCCCATTTATTTGTAGCATACTTATGTGCGAACGCGTCAATGCGCGAACAGGAGGGGAAAATTCGAGTGGGGGAAGGGGAGAGGCTCTCGAACAACTTTTGACCGTTTCAATACTAATGAGGCTGTCAAGTGTTTTGCATAAAAAACCGGCCAAAAACTGTTGGGGCAGGGAGGTCTTCCTGTTACGACGCTTTTTTATGTTAATGGTTAACACACACGCACAACTGGCTGTGTGTGTGTGTGAGTGGGGCACGCGCACACAAGTAAATTAAACTAGGCAGGACGCCGTTTGTAGTGCAAGTCAATTTTTCGATAATTTGAAAAGTTTATTTAATACAAAACGTGATTCAATTACAAAACTGACCGAAAAATACACACGCACTGTACGTACATGTCCTTTGTGGCGAAGGACGAGGGGAATGGATGTTTGCTGTCCACTTCTTGACCAAAAAAAAAAAACAAACTAGTTTTCGCTCGAAAGCGCAGCGTGTGCGCCATTTTCGCAGCTGTCCCTTGGCCTGGCCTTTATTGTTGTTGTTGCCGTTCGTGCCGCACAATGGCGCTTTGTTAATGTAACGGAAATGTAGCGGCCAAGTCTGTGGCACATGTTTTGATCCTGGTCATTATGCTTTTTCCTAGGTGTTTTTATAGGTGTCCCTGCTGAACTGAAATCAAATACTTAATTTTAATTAAGCCTTAGTGCTTGTAGTATAAGTAAATTTTAATTTTTAATAAATAAAATACATTTTAGAGCTGACATTGCTAATTATAGAACAATATTTTCTAAAGAGCTGTTCGTCTCTAAAGCGTAAAGTAAATTTATATATATAGCTATAAGCAATCATTAAAAACAATGATTATTTTACCACAAAACCAGCACCATTTTTTCTGCCTTGAATTATAAAACCGCAGGACAACAAAAAGTTTATTAAATTAATAAATACCAAAGTTCCACGCAAAACAAACCAAGTTAATCCGCAAATATAAAAACTTTTCCAATTAATACAAAGAGTTTATAATTAAATCAGTAAGTTATTCTTTGAAGACTATCAGCATTTTGTTATCCCACGGATAATTCTCGCAGCGCTATTCACTTTTACCTTTTTTGTCAGCTTGCCGCCAAACCAATGAATTTTTATGCAAATTGCAGTCGCCTTGCAGTTGACAACGTCGACACCAAAAGAAGCTGCCGACGCACTCCGAAAACTTTTCTTCCCACCCCCTCAAACACTTGAGGCGGCGCCATAAATCTTTTAGGGTTTTCCACCACCCCAAGAAAAGTGGTGGCAACTGGTGGGTTGGGATTGGATGGGGTGGAAAAGTCTCGGGCTTGTTTACCTTGTTAGCCGGAAACCCAGGGGCCCTGTTGAAAAATACTCGAGGCAATCAGACGGTATTTGCATAATTTGACAATTGTTTTCAAATTGCAATAACAATTTTAGCTTAATTGTTTTGCACACGCCAGCGAAAATATTCTTTCCAGCTAGTGGAGTTGCCTTAATTCCCATTCATTTGATTAGTGGCCCAAAGTTGTTCCTTCTATACATTTTCGGAGCAACTGCCACAGGCAGAAACTTTTTCAATTCAATTGTAAAATAAATATTTTACAAATAATTGCAGGGCATATCCGCCCCCTTTTGCCATCCTAAAATAAGAATATTACGAAAAAGTTTCTATTTTATACGCCACTTTTTTAATGGCCACACAATTTGCTGCGTTTAGCAGTCGCCGCTTTTCGAGGGCGGGGAATTCCCTTCCGATGAACCGCAGCTGCTGCACAATTAAAATGCATGACTATTGTCAAGGCAAATTGCTCGCTGTGACAATGGCAGGACAATTGAGTCAGGATGCTACGGAAGTCCAGAGCACCATCGCCGCAGTGGTGGAAATTGCTGATGTGATTGAGCCCTATATATGTTTATGCAAACTTTTTCGGGCTTTAAGTTATCCACTCACCACAAAACTTTTGCAGAAGCAGCAGCTGCGCATCTGAATTTCATTGTTATTTTAGGCAGTTTGAGCTGTCGCAAAGTTTGCTGGAAAATGGACTAAGCGAACTCCCAAGTAACAAGTGTGCAATCGGATCAAAGGAATCCAAAACCCACAAAGTAAATAGTAAACAAAAACCACCAGGTTACCAAAGTTTTAAAATGTATGTCAAAATTATTTCAAGTTCTCGACTCTTTTGTAGGATCGAAAGTTGGACCGGAAAAAGCAAAAAAAAGGATTGCAGACTTTCTCCAAAGTCAAAGGTTTGGCATTTCAAGTTGGTAACCATTTTTCCATAGAAGCTTCAATACATTTGATTCGTAAACTTCTTGCCAAACGAAATATCCTTAGAGTGGCCATTAAAATGCAATTCACAAATGCACAGTCAAGTAACACATCAACCTTCTTAGTGATGTCCCCCAAGCAGAAGTCAACAATTTGCATAACCACATGGCAGAATGGCCGAATGGCCGAATGGGTCGCCATGGGTCAGGCAGTAGTTAAAATGCTACAAAATTATACATTAAATTCCGAAACTTGGCAACATCCGATGGCCAAACAATGGCCCCAAACAGCTGCCAGTGCGATGCACCTGAGCAAGGCCGGCCAAACAAAACGGCAGAAACAACAACAACAGGAACAACAACAATAACAGGACTTGTTGGCCGACTCCTGCCAGCTTGGTTAGCCAAGCCAACCAGCCACTTCCTGTTTTCCAGTTTAAGCCGCCAACCCACCGGCACGCACAATGAAATATCCATATGCATATTTCGACCAGCCAAACCCAACCCATGATTTCAACAAACACGTGCTAGAGGTGCCAAGACCGATGAAAGCCAAAGATGACTTTATAACAAACGACTTTGATTTTTCCTCGAATATTATGATTGAAATTATGTATATATATTTAAAGCATGAAGATTCGAATAATACCTCATTTCATATTTATACAATAAATAGGCCTTACATTATTTATAGCTAAAGCTTTCCTAATTTTCTTTTTCAGAAATAAATAACAAATAAACAATATTTAATTTATGGGGAAAGAAACATGCTTTAAAGTTTAAACATATATTTTTTTTTTTCTTTGAACCTTGCTTTATTAAATATTTTTTAAATTCTTTATTTTTCTAAACTTTTAATAGTTGCTGGCTTTTTAGAATTCTCACTCATCTCCAATCTCTGCTCGCTTTTAATGGAGTTTGCACACATTTGCGCAGCCCTGGAAAAGGCTGCGAAATTGCCGGCTGGCTGGCTGGCTGGTTGGCTGACTGGCAGGCAGACACAAATAAGGTTTTTGGGTTAAACTGCAAGTTTTTGTTGACATTTAAATTTGCATAGCAACATTTTGGTTGCAGGCCTGGCCTGTCATATTTGATGTTTTCGCAACCAGAGGCGGAAGGGCACTGCCAACTGTCAAGCGGCTGGATGTGTGCATATGTGTGGCCGAGCGGCGAGTGTGTTTTAACTGGTTTTAAAATTGTTTTAATTAAGCCCGTATTGCTGTGCGCATTGTTGCAACACCAGCTCCAGCTCCAGCTCCATCCAGTGTATTCCCACTCAGCCTGGCTCATTCAATATTCAGCATATTTTTAAGTGCTTGGGCGCGGAAAAATTCCGTGATCCTAAAAGTATGCAACGCAAAAAAGGGAATTGCAATACGGAAAAGTTGCCGCTGTTGTTGTTGCTAAAAGAAAACAACAAAGCCAAGGGCTAAAAAGGACCAAGGAAAATGGCCAAATGCCTCTCTGCATTTTTCTTGGCGGGCCCATCAACATAAACAGCTGTTTCCGCTAAGTGTACCTGGACACTCGACCAGTTTTCCCGCCCACGAAAAGCATTGAGTGTATGTGTGTGTGTGTGTGTTGGGAAAATGACAATGCTCCTTTGTGGAGCGTCGAATGGACATGCACAAGTGGACAGTGGAAAATCGGAAAAGGGATAACAGCTGGCTCAGTTGTTGGCATCGTCAAGGAAACGACGATGGCGTCGTTTTGGTGGCCTGATGGAATTTTCTTCCTGCTTTCCTCGGAAAAGTGGGGTCAAGTGTCACCAACGAAGAATAAGATAACGCCAGGATTGGTAAGTAGCTTACAGCAGTTTTGGCTCAGATAATGTGGTACTTAGCATGTCGGAAAAATAAATTAAAGGCTTCAACGAAATGCTTAGAAAAATGTTTACTTTTATTTAGGAGTGAACACAATCAGTAAATTACATTATTTTTTACTGTGCACTTCTCTTTCAAGCACGTGCATATTCACTTAAAATGGATCCAGAAATACATCACATGCAGCACTGCAGATCGATCAGATCACAACAATTCCAAACAACTCGAGTGTTTATTTATAATTTACACCTCAACATCCACTAGTGGCATCAACAAGTTGCCCCAGTTTCGTGCCACAACATGGAGGCCCTAGGAAGACCTTGCCCAAAAAGTGCCGGCGTCTAATTATAAAATCGGAAAATGAAAACAACAGAGAAAATCGGAATCACAACAGTTGCCATATCTCGAGCGCAGTTCCAAGCATCAACAAACAAAATCAACGGCAGAAATAATAACCAAAATAAATCGGAGAAGCGATGAGGAGAAGACGAGCAACGCAAGTCTTTGGCAAGTGAGAACCTAACAATTTCGAACCCGAGAACTGAACGTAGTGTTTTCAGTTTCAGTTTTCGAAAATAGCCAACAGAGCGATTTGAATGTCTGAAGGAATCACAATCTATTCGGGAGACAGTCGCTGGCCAAACGCGTCGCAACTGCGAGTGCAGCGGACAGTCGTTCGGTCGAACTATATAAAAATAAACCGAAAGGCAAGAAGAAGCCGTCAGCGCAGGCTGTGCCAAAAAAATTTCAAAATTAGAGTACATATAGTTCTGTGCGGTCGGTGTAAATAATTCGTGAATCTGTAAACCAATAATAACAACAAAACATCAACATGAGCGCAATGAGCGTTAGGCGAAAGGACAGCGGCCAACTCGAGGTTATGCAAAGTGCTGGCTGGAAGATCGATAGCGATGAGAAGGGTATTAAAAAGACTCCTCTGTCACCGGAATAATCTCTAAGAACGAACAAATTGCAGCCTGCTACATCGATGTTGATGAGGATGACGACCAGGACAACGAAGAAATGATTGAGTCGAAGTGGTGCTACCTACCTGACCTTATACTAGAGCAAATCTTTACCTACCTCAGCCCCAAAGAGCGCTACTATGCGGGACTGGTGCGTATATATCAATCGCTTAGGTTGTTTATAAAATACGTACTCAATCCATTTTTAAAGATTTCCTATATCCGGCATATCAATTTAAAATGTCAAATGATTAGAGCAATGAAAACACGTTTGTCGAATTGGGGTGACTGAGTTTATTTTCGTATGCGTCTCTAGAAATACGGAACATTTCAAAGTAATCTTTTACTTCATATGATTTTTAAGAATTACATATTATTTCCTTCAAAATCGCGGAAAGTACAAACATTTGAGTAATATAGCAGACACACCATGGGTTTTGTATTCCACACTCGCTTACAGTAAACGTCGGAAATACTATTCAATGACAAAACATTTTGTTTATTATTTTATAGTCAACTCTAGGAGAATTCTATTTACAGAATTTGTCTAAGCAGAGAAAATGAAGTGGAGATTATTGAATCAGAAGTATCCAAATGAATTGATTTGATTTTGTTACTGACAGGTTCAATTATATCTTAAATTTGTAAACCTTGTAAAGTTTTGCATTAACAATAACAATCGTTGAAACTATTTTGCAGGTTTGCCGCCAGTGGAACAGAGCCTTCTACTTACCAACTGTTTGGGACAACTTTTTGGTGGATGACCGAACTCTTACGAAACCCAAGTTTAATTACTACTCTGGTTGGCAGTTTTGTCTTGATCACATGAGAACTCAGTTCTGCCTGTCGAAGATCGGCAAATATATGCGAGGAATCGAGTTTCGACCGTGGCACAGTTTCAATAACATCTTCCAGTTTATGACGATGTTATCATGGAATATTGACAAGGTAAACAAATGTGATTCTTCATTCTTATAACTCTAAATACATTTCTTAATTATTTTAGGGTAATGAGGAGAATCCTGGACTTGAGTTTGTAGGAGTGGGTCGGCGTATCCGAAAACTGGTGTATCACTTCCCCTGCAACATGTCGCAGCCCAACGATCCGGAGGGAATCAAGCTCTTCGGCACTGGAGGTCAACTCCTGAGGGTCCTGAAGGAGCTGCTCCTCCGATTGACTGAGCTGCATACTCTCAAGCTGGTGGACTTTGTACTGGAACGGTACGAGGCGAATCACTTGCTGGATGAAGTGGTTTGCAGTTGCTGCACCAAGATGAGGGTCTTGAACCTGGTGAATGTGACCACGGTGCACTGCCCCATCATGCATGTGGGTCTGTTCCTCAACCTGCAGGTAAAAACCATACAATTTAGTTTGATTTCTTAGTACTAAATAAAGATTTACTTTTAGGTGCTCACCATATCGCCGCAGAACATAGACGACGATGTGCTGTCCCTTCTGGCGGACACCAAGTTGCGCCACCTGCACTTGCTGCAAAATTGCTACACACCAAGCCACCTGACAATAAGCGCCTGTGGCGTCAAAGCCTGGCGAAATGTAAAGAAGACCAATCCGCGCCTGCGCGTCCATCTGCGAGTGGAGAATCTGGCGGACGGCGAGGTGGTCATGCAGCCGGAGGCGCCTGTCCACAGCATCACGTACTGCGCCCCGCAGGCCAAAGTACGCGCCGAACTGCTGGTCCGCATGGTGGACCATTACCGGAACACCCTCGCCGTTTTTGGCCACGAGCTCCTGCCACGCTTTTCCAGCCCCAAGCCTTTTCACAGCCGCATCGACAGCTTGCTGTTGCTGATGTGCCGCCAGTGCTTCAATATGGACACTCTGGTGAGTTCCGTACATTTGCATATGCAATCTTAGATTTAAAAATTGTTGGGGATTACATTTTTCATTCAAGAGAGTTATTAAACCTATTAGTAAACGATAAGCTATAACCATATTCTTTTTGAAAAACTTGCAAGTGAATGACTTATATTCTCCATGAATATATTGACTCGCACTCAACAATTATCACCTTTTTTCGCAGATCATCCGCGAGAAAGTCTCCACCTCGACGCTTCTTCTCATTGCTAAAACGGCCAAGAACCTCCAGCATCTCCACGTGCGGCGATTTGCAGTGATTCTGCGATGCGACTGGCCAAGGCATCCGGAATGGACAGACGAATTCAACTCCTGGCTGAAGCGCAACTCGCGATCCTATGAAGCTGTGGAGAGGGAAATCTCAGAGATCTTGGGCTACAAATGGCGTTTGCTCAGCGATCGTGACTTCAAGCAGCTGACTGTGAATGTAAAATCGGGAGCCTAGAAGTTCCGGATTTTCCCCCCTAAGACTTGTGATAAACGGTGTAGAGCTTTATTAAATAACCCAACATTTACGAGATTGTGTAAATATTGTTATAAATATCAAGGGGCTTTTGACATTTACTTGCCTTCTCCTTTTGTTTGTCCACCTGTGTGTGAAATTCCCAAAGTCCGTGTGTTCGAATGATTTAAAAGCCAGTGCATCGCAGCAAAAGCATCAGTTTGTAAAGGAATCCTAACAGAAACATGAAAGCTGTAATCGCCCTCATCGGACTTCTGTTCGTCATCGTCGCCACTTTTGCTGTCCCTCATGGGCATGATCCGCACTACAATGGTCATCACGATTCTCATCACGATCAGCATTACGATGCCCATCAGTATCGTCACTACGATCCTCACTACAATCCCCACTACGATTCGCACCACCATTACTAAACGAGATTGGAATTTACAAGGAACACATTGGATTTAACTACATTTAATTTCGAAATAAACATAATTTTTTTATCAAAAAAGTAACACAAACATACAAAAAAGAATCATAATAAAGGTGATTGGACACTAAAATAGGAATTTTTAAAGTCAAATAAGGTCAAACCATAGATCAACAATTCGTTTATATCTTTTTGGTAAAGTACCCGAAGCTCGAGTGCAAAACAGAAATCGTCAGCAATTGCCAATTTGCATTGATGGGGGAATACTCTCAGCAATTCGCACCTTTGGGCAGGTGAAATTCAATTCATTTTGTTTGCTCACGTTGAGATTGAAATCCCCAAATTCGTAACAGCATCGTGTTTAAAAGCCGGCAGCTTCTTCTTAGATTCGTCAGTTTGTTGAGATATCTTGCCAGAAAAATGAAAGCTGTGATCGCTCTTATCGGACTTGTTTTCTGCATTGCTGGAACAATGGGTTCGCCCATTGTAGTGGGACTACCTCTGCCACTGCCAATTGGCGTGGGATTCGGAATACCTCCTCCACCTCCGCCGCCTCCACCTCCGCCGTATGGATACTATCCGTCCCCATACCATCACCACCACCATCATCCACACGGATATGGTTACGATTATGGATACGGCAGCTATGGATACTAAAAAAACGAACCTAAAGTCAGAAGATATTGTTAAGTTTATTTATATTAAACATGAAACCAGTGGAGCACAGAATAAAACAATATTTATAACATTATTTATTACAAACACAAACTCAACTTTTTAAAATGCAACACTAATTGGATAAACAACTCTTTTAAAGTGTTTAATGTACTACCAATAATATTGCTTTCTACAGTCTAAAAAAATATATATTATTTATTATAAAAATTATTATTTAAGAAATTAATTGTAGAGGTAGTTATCATACCTTTTGGTTATCCAAAAGGTTATAAAAGCTCAGCGTGGATTTCCCAGCTTGCAGCTGTGCACTTTATGGAAACTCGCCATAACCCCCTTTTCTTTAACCCAAAAGCTCTGGAAGCTTCGCAAGCTTGCCCTTTTCACTCGGCTTGCAGCAATGACCTTGAATGCAGCCCACCAGCCCACTGGGGGAGGGAATCAATGCAGCAGGAAAATTCAATGTCAGTGCCAAAGCTCGAAAGGCGTTAAACCGCCTCAAAAAAGCAACGAAAAGGTATACTTTCGGGCGCCCATTACATTACGTATACGTCGGTGGTCAGTGGACAAAACGATGATGTGTGAGCGTTATTGATGCAACAAATAACAGGTCGGATGAAAAGTCCCCGGTCTGACCCATACTAGATTTTACTAGATTTTTTTCCATATAATTTTCATTCAGTACCAACCTTCAAACGATTAGTGTCAAAATTTGACAGCAATCGGACAATTAGTTCGGGAGTTATATCGATTTGAGTGAAGCTACTTTTGTTATTGTTGAAAAGATGGAAAAAAAGAATTTCGTGTGTTAATAAAGTATTGCTTTTTGAAAGGAAAAAATACAGTTGAAGCCAAAGTGTGGCTTGATAAAGAGTTTCCGGGGTCTGCACCAGGAAAATCAACCATCATTGATTGGTATGCTAAGTTTAAACGTGGTGAAATGAGCACTGAAGACGGTGAACGCAGTGGACGCCCAAAAGAGGCTGTTACCGACGAAAACATCAAAAAAATCCATAGAATGATTTTGAATGACCGTAAAATGAAGTTGAGCGAGATAGCAGACATTGTAAAGATATCAAAGGAACGTGTACATCATATCATTCGCGAATATTTGGGCATGCGAAAGCTCTGTGCGAAGTGGGTGCCGCGCGAGCTCACAATCGATCAAAAACAACAACGAGTTGATGATTCGGAGCAGTGTTTGGAGATGTTTAAGCGCAATAAAGCCGAATTTTTCCGTCGATATGTGACAATGGATGAAACATGGCTCCATCACTACACTCCAGAGTCCAATCGCCAATCATCTGAATGGACAGCAAGCGACGAACCCAATCCAAAGCGTGGAAAAACGCAACAGTCGGCTGGAAAGGTTATGGCGTCTGTTTTTTGGGATGCGCATGGAATAATATTCATCGACTATCTCCAGAAGGGACAGACAATCAACAGCGACTATTACATTGCTTTATTGGAGCGGTTGAAAGCCGAAATCGCAAAGAAACGGCCGCATTTGAAGAGGAAAAAAGTGCTGTTCCACCAAGACAATGCACCATGTCACAAGTCTGGAAAAACGATGGCTAAAATTTATGAATTGGGCTACGAATTGCTTCCTCATCCACCGTATTCTCCAGATCTGGCCCCCAGCGACTATTTCCTGTTTGCGGACCTTAAAAGAATGCTCGCTGGCAAGAAATTTAAGACCGATGATGAAGTGATTGCTGAAACTGAGGCCTATTTTGAGGATAAACCGAAAGAGTACTACAAAAGTGGCATCGAAAAGTTGGAAAATCGCTATAATCGCTGCATCGCCCTCGAAGGCAACTATGTTGAACAATAAAATTGAATTTTGCAAAAAAAAAATTTTTTACTATGGTAAACCGGGGACTTTTCATCCGGCCTGTTAATTAAGAATAAAAGAAAAATTTAAAAGTGAAAAGCGCGCTGCTCGCGAGAATTGCGACAGGCGAGTGGGACAAATTTAGCCAAGTAGTGCCGAACCGAATCGAAGGAGATTTCTTCTCGGCGGAGAGCAAACTGTTGCTGCTGATTTCGGTGGTTCTGCCACTGGGCCACTGAGCCACTCGGTGGCAGTTTTTGTTTGGCGGTCGGCGTTGCCAAATGATGATCATGACCGCGTATCGACGCAGATAAATATAATTGAAACAACAACAGATTCAGAAACCGAAACAGAAACACCAAACTATAAGCAAGTAAAACCTGACGACGCCACCAACAGAATAATATTGTGTAACTGCAACGGATTCGCGATGAACAAAACGATTCTGCACTGGAGCTACCTGAACTTCAAGGATGTGCCCATGGATCTGTTCCTCTACGAGGACCTCGAGGAGGTTTACCTCAAGGAGAACTTCATCTCGGTGATTCCCAAGTGGCTGCTGAACATCACCACTCTCAAGTTTATCCATTTGGCGGGCAATAATCTTAGTGAACTGCCCGCGGATATATATTTGCTGGAGAACCTTGAGTTCTTGGATGTCTCCAACAATGAGCTCAAACAGCTGCCACCCACGTTGGGTCTACTGTTGAGTCTACAGCAACTAAATGTGTCGGGCAATCAGCTCACCGAACTGCCAGTGGGTAAGATCATTTACTGAAATGTTACAAGAACTTCTGATAATTTAACGAAAAAAGGTGTTTTTAATTAGTCTCGGAATGATTTTCCCCTTATTTTGAACCTATTTTGCAATGCCTACCTGGTTTTTTATTATTAAATTAAATTTTAAGGGATTTCTATGACTGGATTAGACCTCTAATGGAGTTAGTATTACCACCCATTTCAGAACTGAGCAGCTTGCGCAATCTGGAGCACCTGAACATCGCCAAGAACCAATTTCGCCGCCTGCCAATCCAACTGAGCGAGTGCGTCCGCCTGAATGAGCTAAATGTTAGCGACAACGAGGCGCTAGTCCACATTCCCGAGCGCATCGCCAACCTGCCCATGTTGCAATCCCTCGCCGCCGATCGTGAGTATACCTGGGATTCTACAGATTGTATCTTTTATCTATCTATCTTTTTTTGGCAGGTTGTGCTCTCGTCTACCTGCCGGCCGCCCTCTCGAAGTTCATGAACCACGTGCGAATCTTCCACAACACTGCGATCAACTACATACCCATGGTCTATGAAAAGTTCTACCAAAACTTCTACGACAACCGCCAAAGGAGCACTCCCATGTAAGAAGTTTCTGTTATTCTTCTACGATAAGATAAATTGGCAATGATTGAATCTCACATGGGATGGGTATAATATGGATAGAATACAAAATCGAAATGTTTGTTGAAAAACAATTGGCGATAAACTTGGCAAACTGCCTTTGAGAATGACTAGGGAATTTGAAGCAAATGTGTAAACAAAATGTGTCGATATTATAGATCTTTTATCAACAAATTTTAAATATTTTTCTAATTTTAATTTAACCAGTACATAGTTGCATTGGAAATATATTTTTTAAAGGGTTCTTCAAACAACTGATTAAGAACAATATAAGTTTTTCCTTTGATAACTTACCTATGTATATATGATTTTTTTATAGCGCCGTTCCTCGAAAGGGTCTTTTTTGGGTCCGTGAGCTGGAGACGAACTCCAGGCTGCTACTTCCGGTGGGCACCCGCACAGTATTTCCGGTTCCGTCGGTGGAGAACCGGGTCACCCTCTACGACGACTGTCTGCACGCGTTGCAGACGCTCAACCGATCCGTGCCGATCTACGAGAACTCCGCCCTGCACCGCCTCCTCCCGGAACCGTACATCGGTTCCCACATCAACAACGGACCCATCGCCCGCTGCACGACTTCCACCTGTTCGCGGTGTCTGTACACTTCGTACTACTTCATGGTCGTGAAGAGGTGGGTCCGATTTACGCTACTGTTTGCGTCTGCTGTTTGCTCTGGGTTAGTCATGTGGTCATTGTTTTGGTGCCTCAGAAACCGGCTTTCTAATTGGGCCAGATGGACCTATCACAACCGCAAGAAGTACAGGGAGGACTGACTAAGTGAAAAACAGAATTAAAGTGCTTCATACTTAGCCGTGATTTTAGTCCTTAATTTTTTTAAATTAGGTTTTTCTAAATGCTGTTGAATTTTTCAGAAAAATACAGCCCTTTTGTGCTTTAATCTATTTTATTTGAATATTTTCGTGGGTGTATTTAAGAGCACTTGTATCTTTAGATTGATTAACACATTACTCTTACTCGAGTTTTATTATAATTTTTATAAAACTATAATAATAACATTAAAAACAAATTATGCACCAAGGTCGTGACTTATGACAAAAAATCTCAAACCATTTGATTAAATTCTTTAAGCAAACCAAAGTCCATTTAAATTCTTACCTTTTTTCTTAGTGGCTAATTTTCTGATATCTAATTCTTAAAAACTCATTTTAGGCGTGGCAGCACCTCCAAGCAGCTCTTCACCTGCAATTTCTGCACGAACCGCTGCGCAGTTCTCTGGTTGGCCAGCAATGACAAAAAGTACTACCAGTTGGCTTGGCGAGTTTCCGATGACGACGACGATGACGAAGTCACCATACCCAGTGATAAGTAAAGCCTCTGGAATTCTCCCAACCTCGTTATATATAGTCAGACATTGTGTAATTATTTAATTATTATCTTTAATTACCATTAATTAGTTTTGTACATGTTTATGTAAATGCTATTGAACTACTGGCAACCGGCGCCGTTTGTCCAAAGAGAAAGCTTCTGCGAAATCTAATTCTAGGCTTACAGAAAACTCTGTGTGGGTCTCCGTTCATGGAGGTGTATGTAATCGTCCAAAACGCAGTAATCAGCTTCTGGAAAGGCTCGTCGACAGTCGACGCCATGGCGACCCATTCTCCAGGCATCCAAATATCGATCGTCCAGCGTTCGATGGGGTCTACAGGAATAAAAGAGTTACTTCCGGTTGGAAATTGTTAAAAGAAACCCTTTCACCTTAACAATCTGTGAAGAAGTTCTGCATAAAGTCCACTATGCTCGTCCACCTGCCCATTTTCGCAGATCAGGCGCTCCAAACAGGCACTTCCATTCTGACCCAACTGATCCATATAACCCTCAGCGAACTTGAAAAGTAAGAGCTGGGGTTCATCTACCAATAAGCGAGGAGGAATTGATGGATTGGATAGATGGGTAATGGGTCCCTTGAGGCCACGGGAACTATTCCAAAGTTTCCACCAATAAATGGGAGTTTGGGGTTCATTGAACTGGTAGTGGAAATTCATGAGCCAGACCAACTGACGCCAGAGTTTTTTCTCCATTAAAGGCACTGGAAAGGCACAGCCCCCAACAAACTGTAAAGATACAAATCAATGTATATCAACCAACTGAATAAATATTTGATGTGTAACCTTGATAACACCGCCATTTTGATAAATTAAGAAACGCTTCTGCCTTCTGTGATGTCGCCAAGCTGTGAGATTTGCCCCCAAACCATTTGCCACTTCCAGGATGAGGAGGAAATGTACGATCTTGCTGCTATATTGGGGAGTAGATTGTCAGTGGAAAAAGAAGAGGTATCACTTCACGGCTAATTAACTCACAACAGGTTCATTTTGCCGCTTCTTGTGCTGTCCGTTCGAGCTCTTGACTGCGTTTACCGCCTCGGATTTTACAGATCCAGTGCTGAGGCATCGGTTTACGATAGCTTGTAAGCCTCGGGGAGATGGGTAACGCTCCGGAGAGAGGTGAGAAAAAGCACGTGCTTCTGTGGGTTTCCTACTTTTGCCTGCCAGACTAATTAGCAAACACTTCGTCTGCTCCACAACTCCAATAACTTCGGTGGCCATGACTCTAGAAAGTCATTGGACCGCGACACCAATTCAATCAGTGATTGAAAAGCGTTCAGGTTCAAAGACAAAGATAGCATGAGTCAACCACAGATAGCACTTGTATTTAATAAATCGGTATAAGAGAGGATTTAAAGAAATTATATTGTTGAATTCATTTATTTCAATAATGCATTCATTTTATCGACAGGACGAAACTAGCTCTCCATACTCCCCAATAATTTGTATTTAAATTTAAACAGTAATATAATTAAGTAAAGAATTTCATCTTTTTTAAGCTAGCAACTTTTCCTACTCCATACATTTTACTAACATAAAAAACGAAATATCTCTGTGCGTCATAAAAGAATTGAATACATAACATGTGTTAATAAGGGCGCAATTAATACAGACTTCGCTACGTGGAAGTAGAGGCTGGCTGAAGCTCTCCTTGGAAACCTCCACCAGTTGCAGTTGGTCGGCTTGTTGGCCAATTGACTTTTCGGGCTGCCATGGCGAGGTGGCATTGCCATAGTTCCGCTTGTTCCATTTATCGAACAGCAGCGGAAATGTCGAAACACTCCAAGTAGTCCAGAATTCTGCTGCGTGGCGTTAACTGCCACAGAATTGCTTTTGGCTTCGAGACAAATGTAACCACAACGATTTGGCAAAAGGAATTGGCAAAGCAAAATTTCATTTTGGAATAAGCAAAAGCGTGCGAAATTATCCGTAATTATGATACGATTACCGGGGATGCCCATGCTGCCAGGAGCGCAGTTCTACGACGTAAGTGGTGCAATGTATCCCATTTAAGTGTCTTGTAGCTATTAACCTAATCCTTTACAGCGTGGCAAGCGTCGCCATCCGAGGCAGCAAACGCTGATGCACTACCAGGGCATCCAGATGCTGTCGGATCGAAGGGAACCAGAGTTAGTCGAACCCAATGGCATCGTGGCCGATCCGAAGTGCCCTCCTGTGCCTGCCCAGATCAACAGCCTGTGGGCTCCGAAGGTCACCACAAAACTGCCACCTTGGTTGGCCTACGACAAGCAGGTGCTCTGTTTCAACGCCTACTTCAAGGAGAACCTGACCGAGATCTACCACGCCCCCTATCAAGTGCGCAAGGTGAAGATCTACTTTTACCTGGAGGATGGCACCATGCAGGTCACCGAGCCGAAGGTGGAGAACTCCGGCATTCCGCAAGGTTGCCTGGTTCATCGGCAAAGAATCCCGAAGGCACCACCCACCGACAGGGAGTTCATATCCATTTTCGACCTGAATGTGGACACGGATATCCAGATATTCGATCGGGTTTACCACATCAGCGGATGTGACGTGTTCACAAGGCAGTTCCTCAATAGAGCTGGCATCTTTGTGCCTGATGCCCAGCAGGAGCCATGGTAAGATTATAAAATATAAATTTCTGATGTGTTGAGTATTGTATTTTATATATTTTATATTCCAAAGCCTGCTTTAATATCAAATTTATGCATATTGGTTGCTGAACTGTCATTATATCTGAATTTTCTCTTAGTGATCCCACCACGGAAATCCGAAAACGTTCTGGCTTGAAACAAACAGCTAATACCTGTTCTTCAGCTCTACCCAAAAAACATTCCTTCGCTCAATTTCTGGAGTTTGACAGAAGGGTACTGAAGTTCCAGGGCTATTGGAATGATCGCAGCGAGTTTGGCGATGTGCGGAAGTTGGAGATCTGTTATTACCTAGCCGATGATACCATTGATATAAAGGAGAAATTCCCTCGGAATTCCGGTCGCGAAGGACCCAGTACTTTTCTGAAACGGGGAAAGCTGCCAAAGGAGTTTTCGGGACTCCCTCTGCCTGGACAACAAACTGCTATGACCTTGCTAAATGTTCTGGGCAACAGTATGCGTGATGTGCGTTACGTAGCCGACCCGTTGAACACCGGACAAAAAGAGGTTCACCACTACACCGATCAGGATCTGCAAATAGGAGCTGTTCTGAATGTTTTTGGAAGGGCTGTCGTTCTTACAGGCTGTGATCAGTTCACGCAGAGCTACTATAGGGAAAAGGTGAGAAAAGAAAAAGGAGTTTCCCAAATTTTAAGAAGAAATAACTCATCACACTCCATTATAGTACGGCATTCAGGAGTTCTGCGCTCAACCAATACCAGAGCGAAGTGACGTTCGTCCCTACACCCAGGGCGGAATGGCATCCCGTCGACTGCCACCCTACAATGGCTGGGGAAGCCACGAGGATTCCGAGGGCAACTGCATCACCGTAGAACCAAAGCCACCGCAAGCTGATTTCAAGAAGCTCTTCAAGTACGATGGATGCATTCTGCGCTTCGGGGCCAAACTCGTTTCGGCCATTCGAGACAATAACGAGCGAGATTTTGTCATCAGTTATTTCCTGGCCGACGATACGGTGCAAATCTACGAGTCGTCACGTCGAAACTCGGGCTTCTTGGGTGGCGAGTTCCTCAAAAAGGCCAGAGTTCCGTTGCCGGGTCAGGATATGTTTAGCTCCTCGAGACCTCAGTACTATAGAGCCAACGACTTCTACATAGGACGCACCATGACTCTAAAGGATCACATCTTCCACATTGTTTCGGCTGACGAGTTTACGCTTATGTACATGGAACAGCATCCCAGCGAGGTAAGTATATCTCAAGAATAATACATGTGCTTAAACGCGATAAGGGATATAATTTCTATCTATTTTTCAGTTCCCCGTAGCCGACATCCGCCTGATCATGCAGAAGATCCGCGATGCAGTGCGTCCCGACTACAAGCAGTTTGTGCTGAGCTGCAAGCCGGACGGAGACCTCGGGGACTACACCACCGTGAGCTTCGATACGCTGCGCTCCACTCTCCTGTCTTACCTGTCCAAGGAGTGCCTGCTCAACCACGAAATAGTGACCGTGTGTCGCTACTTCTCGGCTGAGCAGGCAATGCCTCCCAGCTGTGACAGGAATCGAGTGCGAGCAGCGGCCCAATTGGAGCTAAAACGAGCTTTGTGGAACGGCGTGGAGCAGCTGAACGATCACCTGAGCCACATCAATCCCGCCTGCAGGCCGTACATCAGCGAGGCTCAAGTTAGATCGACTTTGCGTGGTTGTCGGCTGCCTTTCAGCCTTGAACTTGTGGAGGACATCCTGATGGTGCTGCAGCGAAATGGTCAAAATGAGATCGAGGTGCGTGACTTCCTGGCCTTCTTCAACATGCGCAATGACCAAGTGCCGGACATTGCGCCTCTCAACATCGCCTTCGAGCTGTGCCCCAAGCTGCCTTTCCTGCACAAAGGCCGACTGGTGGACTTCACCTGGTTTTTGGACTATCTCGGTCTCGAGGAGGAACTTAAGCGAGCCAACAGTTAAGAGTAGACACGGCGTATCAAAAATTGCATGTATATACAGAAAAATTCGTGGCAATATAACTTTCGGAATGGTGAACTTTGTGCTTAAGACCTAGAAGTAGATGCTAATCCTACAGTTTAGACTCGGTGAGCCAGTTGAAGGACTGCGGCTTGCGATCAGACGACGGGCTAATGGCCACGTTGATGATGGTCGGCCTGTCCTTGAGCTGATTGGCCGCCTTAACAGCCGCCTGCAGCTGTTCGATCTCCGTGCAGAAATAGCCCTGCATGCCGAACATTTTCATCATCTCCTCGTAGCGGACCTGAACGCCCAGCGCCGATGGCGGTGTGCTGCAAGATAAGATTAGCAGTAAGTAGTGGTTCCAGATAAACCGATAAGCTACTGGGTACTCACATTTGGGTGAGATCGCCCTCACTGCGAATGGCCTCGAAGGTGTCCTTGTCGAATCCGCCATAGATTCCGTTGTTGTTCACAATCACAATGGTCACGGGCAGCTTGTACCGCACCATGGTCTCGATCTCCATGCCCGAGAATCCAAAAGCGCTGTCGCCCTCAACGCACAGCACTCGCTTGCCGGGCGCAAAGTCGCGGCAGTAAAGAGCGGCGGCCACGGCGAATCCAGGGCCAACTCCCATCGTGCCAAAGGTGCCGGCATCCAGGCGATGACGTGGCTGCTCGTTCAGCAGCATGGAGCGACCAATGTCCATGGTGTTGGCTCCCTCGCTGACGATGATCGTGTCCTTGGGCAGCAACTCCCGCAGATGGTGGAACACCGCATAGTAGTTCAGTGGCGTCTCCGTGTTGAGCGACATCTTCTGCACGGTGTCGCGGTTCTGCTTGCACTTGATGGCCAGCTGCTTCCACCAATCCTGCTCGTAACCGAAACGGAAGTTCACGGCGTTCATCTGCTCAAAGAGTTGCTCGGCGAATGGACGAATGTCCGCCTGAATGGCAACCGAGGCCACCACAGAGTTGTGCAGCTCCTCGGGATTGATGTCCACCTGGATGAACTTAACATCCTTGTCGTAACGCGGCGCCTTGCCAAAGTGAAGGATCCAGTTGAGACGGGCGCCCAGGAGCAGCACCACATCGGCCTTCTGCAAAGCCAGAGTTCGAGCCGAGGAGACGCACTGCGGCGCCGTATCGGAAACCACACCCTTGCCCATCGGAGTGGGCAGGAAGGGCAGGTTGGTGTTCTCGATGAAGTGCCGGAGTGTGTTCTCGGCATGGGCGTAGGCGGATCCCTTGCCCACAATAACCAGTGGACGCTTGGCCTGGCGCAAAAGCTTGGCAGCGCGGATCACATCATCGTGCGGTGGATAGGCTAGTGGTGGAGCCGGGTGCGGCAGAGCCTTGTAGATACGCGACTCCTCGGCCTTCGATTGCAGAATATTGCCGGGGAAATCCAGGTAGGCGACACCAGGACGTCCATAGGTGGCATAACGCACAGCCTTTTCCACGTGCAGTGGAATCAGAGCAGCGGTGGCCGGACGGGCGGCGTACTTGCAGTACGGACGCGACAGCTCCACTTGCGGGCACTCCTGGAAACCACCGATTCCTTCGTGGTCCTGGTTGGTGGCTCCACCAATGACAACCAATGGCCAGCAGTTGACCTGGGCATTGGCCATGCCACCTGGTTTGGTGAGCCGTAATAAGATTAGCAAAGGTTCAAACTGGTTCAGTCCAAATCTTACCTGTCACATGGAGCAATCCGGGTCCGGAAACCACCAGGCAAACTCCGGGCTTTCCAGTCAGATAACCAATTGCCTGGGCCGCATAACACGCAGCCTGTTCGTTGCGCATTCCGATGTACTTCAATCCGGCGGCCTGGAAAGCCATGGACAGCTCGATGACCGGAATGCCGATGATACCAAAGACATACTCCACGCCCTGTTCCAAAAGACAGATACAACAAGGTTATTCAGACACCTCATTTAGCTATCAACCAAACATTTAAAAAATATAACACGAGAAATTTATAGATCAAATCAGTAGGCAATGTGCAAACACGTTCTTAAGTGATTTGCCCGGAATCCGGTTAAAGTTTTATTGATTTTAATCTGCCCCCTGGCGATAATCGGCGCTGCAAGAAAGGTGTTCTTGGGTCGTGGTGCCAAACCTTTGGAACACAGCCTTTATCAAATCCGTTCAGTCTTTTATTAACGGGAGTAATCGGCGGGGAGCAACAGCAAAAACAACAACTACCAAGTGTTTTTGAACTTTGCACAACAAACAGGTGCCTCTAGATAAGAGACCACTCCATTGTTCTCGCCACCTTCACAGATTCCACAACTCCCCGAGTGGAAAGATATATTTTCCGACACTTTTCGCAGATTGCATGTGCAGAAGATTGCATGCGAAAAATGTCTGACAGACGGCCAGACCAAACGATCCTCTTACCTGTTGCTTCAATGACTCGGCAATGATCTGGACGGCTTCAACTTCGGCCATTTTGCGCAGTTATTATTTAAATTGTGCTAAATGTGTGTTATGCGCCGCCGCGGTACCTTGCGAACTGGCCTGAGAAATTGTTAAACAAATTAAAATACAGAGTCCAACAGAAGCGGTGACCGCTATCGATGCATCGATGACTTTTCTTCGATTGTTGCTGCGACTGTCGATGCTTGCAGGTAGTGTGAACGTATGCTGTAAGGAAAATATAAAACATTATTTAAGACCGCCTTTAATTTAAATTAATTCATTTAAAAACAGAAATTATGTTTACAAATATTGACTAGAATTACTTTTTTATTTAAAACAAAGTGTAGTTATCGATTATTATTCAGCTCTAATAACAGCACTGTAAAGAAATAATACCAAACGGTAAAGAGACGACCGTTCTGTAACAGTCAAACTACTTACTGTCATCGATAGCAGGGCCGCCAGTTTCAAATACTAATGAAACCCCTATTTTTATAATTGGCCTAAATCAAGACAGTCTTAAACAAAGAGTTTTTTAAGAATTTATTCGCAATTAAATACATTTATTAAAATTTTTCTTTCTTTGTTGTATACGTTTTTAGGTTTATTGTTTTAAAATGTGCATTTTAACATTATATTTAAAGCTTACTGTTACACTGGTAAACAACAATAAAAAACGGCATTACATCTTATCTATTGCCAAGCCTTCCTAGGCTGCTGTGCCTTCTGAAGTTGATAATGAATATACAAGCGATAAGTGCAGTAGTAAAAAAATTCCACAACGGAAATCATGCTTAGTCCCAGGCAGAGATTAAAGATGCCACCCAAATCCGCTGAAAGTAACCATAGTAAAACCTCCGAGTAAAAATAAAGATACTATTTCTCACATAGCAGTCCTATCCATGACATAACGGTAACTTTCCGAATAACTGGAACAACTTGCTTGGCCAAGTAAACCCGAAGCACAAAGCTATCGTTGTTAAGCAGCTCCCTTGAGCTTTTTATGGAAGAAATAAAATATATAATTAAATTGTATGGTTATAATGCATTAACTCACTAGAATGGGTTAACAGAGTACTGATGCTGGTTGAGATCCGTTCTGTAGGAGAGCGTGGAGTAGGTAACATCGTAGCAGTTTGGTAGGCATTGATCACATCGAACGCTCTTAAAATTATCTGTGAAAGATTTAAAATTTCTTGTTTTTAAGAACCCCTTTCCCTCTTAAACTCCTTATAAATATTTTTTAAAGGGTTATAGCCTTTATTCTATTCATAGCTAGCATCTTATAAGAAAGTTATATATATAAGATAACTCACCATAGTTAGCCGAGTAGCAGAAGGTGTCATTGAGGTTGCACTCCTTAAAATTATTCCCCACGATGGGCAGAAGATATGGATGACATCCGCACTTCTGGACGATGGCCTCCGTTTGACAAGCAAGCAAACAGGCAGCTTGGCGATAGCTCCTAAGCTGAAGGTCATCCGAAATGAGGCAGTCCCTCTTCCTTTCCGAAAGCTCCAAGACATCCACCGAAGAACTCTGCACAGTCGGCGAAACCTCCACGAAACTCTCGGATCTCGCTGTAATTGTGACCGAGGCAGCCGACTCTGTTACATAATCCATTGGATGGTGAACAAGGACAATAAGACCAGTATTTAGGTTCCTTTCACTGCCCTCCGCACCAACGAAAGTCAAACCCCCATCCATGCCAAAAATATTTGCTGAGAAGGGAACAAAACTGGAATTCCGGGGATTGTAGTTGAAGGAACAGCAAGGACCCAAATATGCAGTTGTTGGAATGAAGGACAAATACTCGTGGCTCTGGTTGCACTGGAACTCTGTGTGTCCCCAAAAGCATCGTTTAACGTAATCCGAGCATCCTGGACTGACTGCCATGGCTGCTTCCCAAGTGGTCACGTTGTTTAACCGGAGAACTGCATCTGTAGCCTTGAAACTATCGTGACTTGGAGGCACAAAACTTTGATCCGTAAAGGCATTGAGGAAATCAAACCCGGCAATCACCTCTGCAATATCGTATTCCCTGGGAATTTGTCTGTAGAAAAGGAAGGATTTTATATGAAATATCCATACATATTTTCAAACTGCTCACAGGGTTTTCACAAAACGATCGACCCTCTCCGAATTAACCACCTTTGGACTGCAAATAGTAACACCCGGAAAAGCAACATCCGTAATTGAAAGGTCATTGGAAATGGTGTTTAGGATGGGATACGAGTAGAACTTTAGCCACAACAACAAGGTAAGGTAGATGCTCAAAAGGAGTAGTTGCAGCAGAACCGATGACCAAATAAATCTGGATAAGCCATGAGTGCGATTCCGGCGCATCAGCCAAATGCCGCTCACTTTGGTTCGCTCCGTGTATTCCCAAAAAGTTGATAGCATGGCGGCTCTAAGGAGACTTGGTTGATTAGTCCTCTTTTTGGTACCACTCACTTCGGAGGTCCTTTTGCCAGGCGATGGCCACTTTCCCGGTTGAATCATTTTGACTGTCTGGGCTTGAATCACGAAGCTCGGGCTTTTATAGGCCAGGATGTTATCCTTAATGGCTGAAAGTTTGGGTGCTAATTGTAGGTTGGTTGAGAGTCTCACTTGTTTTAGGAAAGTATCTCATTAGTTGGGCACTACCCGTCATTTCAGAATTGTAGCGCTAAATCGATAAATTTATTCGACATTTAAAATGTAGTAAACCTGTCATTAAACACAATAATCTTTCAATTTCAACGGTCATAAAAATGTGAAGCTGTCTAGTCGAACTTATTATTAAAAATTACTGTTCTACTGTTTGTGTTTTTGATTAACAATGTTTAATTATAATTTGAAATGAAAATCCAAAATTTATTATCAGTAATCCTTGCGTATCTTTAAAAGCAAACGCCTTCCAAAACTAGTTATCTTAATTCGCACCATTTTGATGACTAATAATTTAATTTTGAATTTAAATTGAATTTTCGCACCCAATAAATTGCGCTTTTGACTTCACTCATAACCTACTAAAACTCGTATAAACATGACGTTAATTCGCAATTAGAAGCGGGAATTTATCGGCTAAAACTGTCCTCAAATTTTGATTAGCATTTTACTAATTATGAGTGTCAATTCCGTTTTTTTAGTACGAGTGCTAAGTTCTGCAAAGAGCCGCAACCAGTTCGCCAAAGTGTTTCCCCCCAATCCAGGCTAAGGTCGTTGCGCCAATCTAAGAGGAACTGGTTTCGACCTCAGCTGACTCGTGAGTCACAATTCACGTGCGCCAAGTGAAACCATTATCATTAATAATAAATACACGGCTAAAGCTTTAATAGGACTCTCCATAAACAAGTACACATCGCAGTTATGGCATAATACTAAAGATACAACATCACAGGTGATTGCCACGGCACAAACTATAACTTTGTGTTGACAATATCCTCGCGCGACTCGGTGGTTTGAACTTCGTTCCACTTCTGGATCTTTCCCGATCCGAAGACCCAGAAAAACAGGGCGGGCAATATATAGGCAGCGGCTCCAATGATGAATATCCAGTGCCATTGGTCGATTGTGTTCTATGAGGAAATAAAAATTAATTAGTTATCTACAAATATTTAATAGGTAACCCCACAAACCTCATTCTTTGTGAAGGCGGCCACAATCAGAGGTGAAAAGATTCCTGGAGTGGTGCCAACACAGTTGACTATTCCGTACAGGGTTCCCGCATAATTGGGCGCCAAATCCTGCGAGTTGGCCAAATTGGAAGCCGTGGCAGCTCCGTTGAAACCCAGGGAAATAGTCATAATTGCCACGCAAACATAAGGATCTTTGCCAAAATAGGCCAAGATTATTAGCATTATTCCCGGCAGAATGTGAGCTACGCAAGTAAAAATAAAAATAGTAGAGAAATACTTTTCATTTGAATATTTCATATCAACTTACAGGGCAAACAGAAGGCCTTTCGCATGCGGGTTACGGACAACCATCCCCGACGACGAATCAAATCCGCCACTGCGCCAAATCCAAAGGCACAGAGGAGACGTGCCACATGGGGCAGACTGGACAGGAAGCCGGCGGAGGAGAGATTGAAGCCCAGGACCTCGCTCAAGAACTTTGGAGTGGCCGTGATCAGGAAGAACAGACCCCACATGCTGCCGTAGTGGAGCAACATCAGCGACCAGAAGGGCAGCGAGAAGATCAGCTCCTTGTACGGTGGCCACTTCTGCAAAAAATATAATCAAGTTATAAACAAAAAAATATTTTAAAAATATTTACTGAATAATTTAATGCCTGATATTAAGGTTGAGTAAGTATAGACTTTTTAAATTGTGTTGAGGCAATATTTACGTTTGTCCAATAAGTAAGCAACGCGTATCTTATTTATGAAAGTGCAAATATTTGTTAACTTTCAACCAGGTAAAAATTTTTAGCTAACTATACGACTTAGGTTCCATTCATTTCTTTTTTTGCTTCTATCTTCAAACCATAGAAAACCTATATGACTGCTCTAATAATATTGAAGGAGCTCCTATGACACATTTTTTGAAATTTTCGAATATTTAAAACTTTGTGGCTTGGGAATCATAAGAAGTGGGAAAAACGTACCTTCTTGTTGCTCAGAGTGTCGCCCAAGCTATTCTCGATGTACTCCCTCTCCTTTATGCTGATAGTGCTGTGCTTGGCGGGAGTATCTGCCACCAGGTAGAACCATATGGCCACCACAACTACTACGAAAATGCCGACGATATAGAAGGCCCAATCCCAGCCGAGATTCTCGATGATCACTCCACTAATTGGCCACGTGATGACGGTGCCGAAAGTACCGCCCATTAACGAGGCCACGAACTTTCCCTTTTCATCCGGAGGAGACCACTTGGACACCAGGCTGTGGCAGCACGGGTAAACCACTCCGTTGAGGAAGCCGATCAGGAATCGCACGGCGAAGACAGCATACTTGTCCCAAGCAGCTGCCGCCGGAGTCAAAGCCGTGAGTATTCCGGCGAGCAAACAACTGTATCCAGCCACATTTCGACCTCCGAGCATTTCGGCCAAGGTGCCGGCGGGCAAAGAGGTTATCATATAGCCATAGAAATAGGCACCCAGCAACAGGGCCTGATCCGACTGCGTCCAGTTATAACGAGGTCCGTACTGGAAATAAATAAATTTAAAGGTAACAATTAATATAGGTGCTTAGTTGGTCTAGAAAATAAATCATTTTTATGAATGTCATCCAAGTGAAATCTATATTCATCTAATTTATAAATAATTGTGACAACTTTCGGTTAAGGAATGTTAGGTGTATACCTTACCTTTGCCTTTACCTATATAATTATTCCTTAAAAAAAAACTACTTAAATTGTATTTAAATACAACAGTAGTTGTTTTTATTGAGGTGCTTTAAAATCCCCTTAGTTTTGTATTTAGTGAAACTCACATTGGGCAAGGCCTCAACCTCGGTGCCGTTCTCGTGACTGCTCGTGTCGTCCACCATGGCGATGATGTTGATGGAGAGATTCACCCGCATCATGTAGCTGAGGAGGCAGGCCATGAAGAGCATGATCGCCACGTTGATCCGCTTGGGCACATAGACTGCGAACGACAGCAAATATTGATCATGGACAGTTATTGACAGGTTGTTATTCGATTTTCGATGGCACAGGCCCCTCGCAGCACATTAGAGCAATTAGCGGTCTGGATATATATCTATTCCCGTTGGGGCGGGTCACAGATCTCTAATGGGCTGCGCATGCGCGAATTTCAATATTTGAGATCGATATAATTCGGGGACTTCACTTCGCCGAACGGAGATCACGTGAGATGTTATTAATGGGACATTTTTTGCATATGACTCGTGAGCTCCGGGCAAATCCGAGAGTTTGGCAATATTTTTCGGGTACTTACAGCACGGCATGAAGGCCATTTCGGCGGCTTTTTTAATGGCTCCGGTGCCTCGCGTCAGGTGTCAGCTGAAACGACAACAACAGGAAGCTGTTAGCAGCACTTTTATGCAGATCACTCGAGTTCGAGTATGACGGGGTACTCCCCGAGGCATTTGCCAATATTTTTGGCGCATAAATTTAATGAGGTTTTTGCTGCCGAGTCACTGTTGGCTATTTTCGGTAACAGCTGATCCAAAAGATGTCTATTCATTTCAATAAATTTACATTTAAATGGTCGGTGCCAGCTATGTTTGGAGGCCCATTGTCAACCGCATCTTTAAATAAATGTTTATAAGCAGTTTTGCATAAAATGGCAATCAAATCGAATTAGCTCCTATGAATAATTTGTCTATATTATTATATAGTAAAAAAAGGGGCCGAAAATAGCAAAAACTTCATTGGAGATCACTTTAAAAAAGCAATAAGTCTTTCGACTGCTATTCGTTTTAGGAAATAAATTGATTATCTAATTTTCACTCCACTTTTTTAATAAGTTAATTACAGCTAGACCTTAATATGCTCAAATTTAGTGTAAAATTTAAAAAAAATATATAAATTTCCCTTTACGAGGACTCTCTGTCAAAACTCATCGTTTTTGTTTGTCTATAAATAACGCTTTCCAAATAAATTTGTTTAGTGATAAATCTCCGTTGACTTTTTGCATTCACTTTTAAAATATAAAGAGTAATGAAGTTTCCGGAAATGATATTTTAACAATATATCTGAAGCCTGATTAATTTGAATTTAAGCTCTTAGTTTTACCGCTCATTAAATTTTATTGCAACTCATTTGTTCTTTATAGCAATCCACTTATATTGTTAGGAAGCGCACATGTAACAATAAAGTAACACATTTGTTGTTTCAGCTCTATTTAACTTCCATTATAGTTCCAATTCGAAAGTGATAGCCGATTAGGTGCATGAAGATGTCACTATACTGCCGGCAAAAACTCGATAATCGCAAGTGCACGTGTAGCAATCTATTCAGAACTGGCCCTGCACCTAACCATATCAATCGAGAGCACTTTCGGCGGTATCTGCGTGCAAAGTACTTCTCGAATTTTATAAGCACGTCCCACTTGGCACTTTACGGACGGCACGTGAGCCCCCGTTTAGGCAAATTGAGTTACAGGCCGCAACAAAATGCATGACTACATTAAATGTATTTTACCAAACACACCGATCGTGCCACAAAAGTGTCGAACGGCATTTTGGCATTGACGCTGTCGCAATTTCACCGAGGGCCGGAATCGAGGAAGCTGAGCGGATATATCTGCTAGATCTGGTAATTGCCCGGCGTCATGCTATCCTCATTTTCGTATCACCCCATCGGGGATACAATCTTGGGCGATAGTATAGCTTAGAACACATCGCATCGAAGCCATGTTCGGGTAATTGAAGCATTTAAACAGCTGCCCTCGCTGCATTTCGCACAAAAGAAATGTTTGCGCGAAAGCTGTTCAACTCTCTTATATAATAGCACTGTCATATAATGCGGTCTGTGAATTAAAGCCGAACACTTGTTTTCTTGCTTAATTACTGCCCTATATTTCCGGCCAAAACACAAATTAATAAAGCCAAAAGCAAAACTTCCCGTACTCACTAAAGTTTGAAGTGGCCCCTTAAATCGTGAAATTCGATTAAATGTTTTTTTAGGAGAGGCTCATAAATAATCGTTTTAGGTGATAAGCAAGCGCATTGAATGAAACAAGGAACGATAATTCAAAAACCGCAAACTTATCTTTTACGATCTGTTACAGAGATGAAAAACAAGCGGCAGTAAAAGTAATTCCCACCTTATTACTCGTTCCAAATTTAGAAACCTCGTTTTTATCATATCGTATCCTCCGAGTAGATAACTGTATCTATGGGGAAAAAAAGAAACTGGGGGCAATCTTCACCTTTTACCCGTCTAGAATTGCATTGATTAGGATTTGTTTACGTGACTTGGATGTGAATTCCCGCGAAATCGGATCGGGAAAACTAATTTGGCTAACAATCGGAACGAAGCATATTTGGGCCGTCAGATTTGAATTATTGATTCGCACATACGTGAATTGAAATTCGTTTTAATTGTACCTTTGGGAAAAGATCAAAGAACGCAGCTAATGACCTTCGGCATTAATTTGGGCTTAATAGTAAGTTACTGAACCTCTAATTGCAGGGCTGGTTTCAGCCATTCGCGATCTGTATCCCGATAACCCGAAAGCACTGGGCAAGTTCTAAAAGCCTAAACAAATCATTAGGGCAAAAGCTGCTTACTTTTTTTTGGTTTTTCCTACTTGGTTATATGGGGGAAATTAAGTCAGCGCCAGCCTCTCTTCTAATCTGCAGCGTTACGCCTTTATCAACCATTGCCTCCAATGACGGAGACTCCATAAAATCAGCTCGACAATTTATGGGCAATAAAGATGTGTTGTAAAGTTATACAGTGTAGTCGAATATGGCGCATGGGCATGGTCGTGATAAGTTAGCCATCAGCTGGTAAATGACGATCATTAGAGTCAGGTTAATCGTCAATTAGCCGCAATCGCAGTGGACCCTGTTGGCGAACTTGGCCAACAAGTATTACCACGATAAATGATTTGATTTACAATCGGAAAACGGTTATTGCGGAGGATCAAAAACGCAATATTTAGGTGACTCCACAAGCCCACAAGAGTTTGTATTCGAAACGTTGGATATTCACAACACGCGTTCCATTTACATAAGACTTGGTTACCCACTTGACATGGTTTGGGGTTCGACTTCTCCCCTTCCCCCTTTCTGGGGGATCCTCTGCTCTGCCCCACAAGTGCCTCATTTGCTGTCACTTATCTGCCTTGTTTGACTCTGGTATGTGGCTGGGCATAGAACTCTGCAAATTATTTCGACTGTTGGCAATCAAGCGTAACTGGCTAACAAATCAAGACCGGTAATGAACCCAGTTAGTTGGCCGTTATTGTTGTAGATCATTGTTTTTGCTCAATTTCGGTTCTCATAGCCTCACTCGGGCGAAACTGCCATTTTGCACCAATTCCCATTGAAATCATATAATTTGTGTTTTTGCATTTTTGCACGTTATAATTAAATTTCAGAAAATTACGTGGCGCAGGGAAATAGTAATACACACTCTATAGCGATTGTAAACAGCTTACTACTTTTTCGATACACTAAATAAAAAGAAATCCATGCGACAATTGCGAAAATTGCACGCACTTGTTAATAAAAATCACGAGTGTCAAATACTGGCCCGTGCTATTCATATTTTCGCGATATGAATAAATGTTCGTTGGTTGGGCAAACGGTTCGAATATCATTGCATAAATAAAATCGGCTTGTGTGAATATTTTGCGAAGACCCAAACCTGTACATTAACCCAGATACTTCTTTCAATCAAGCTGACAGTAGTCGGTCCAAAGTCTCCGATCCTTGGCCAACTGAAATAACCGGGGATTATAACTTCCCGGGTTGTTGCCAAGGCCTGGAATTAGCGGAACCCAGAGATCACTTGCCCGAAAGCGAAAAACAAAACAAATTGAAATTGTTTCGAATAGTGGTCGCGGTTCAATGAATCGAAATAACGAAACCAGTTATTATTTGAAATGCAAATTTTTTGAAATAAGCGCCAATCCAAACATAAACAGGCCAGTTCTGGCTTTTCTTATCGAACCGATTTCTCTCTTAATCAAAATCATAATGCAGAAAAATGGCCTTTTCTAGAAAATGGTCAATTCGAACCGAAATATTGTTAATCAATTTAAATTTGTTAAAATTTTTCGAAAGCGGAAATCAGAATATTCCTATTTTTGTTTCAATACCCAAGCATAAAGAATAGTTAAAAGAGGGCCTGTCTTTCTAGGTGTTTCCTATAGATTTATTATGGAATATTAACCGCACTGTTAGCACAAAAAACAACTCGCGATCACAAAACACTCAAAGTCATCTCTGTTTATCTTCGCTTATGTTTTCTTCTCGTACTTCTTCGTGACACAAATTTTGCATGGAATTTTACCACACACAGCCCCCAAAAAATATCGGATGGAGTTGTGGCGCCAAATGATACGCTCGAAATGCAGCAGGCGGATATTTTCGAAAATTCAAAAAAACTGGACTTTCCCGTTGAGAGCCCCGAAAACTGCGTTAATGACTGGGGTTGCACCGAACTCACTTTATATATGGCTTTGGTGGCTACTTATTTGGGAGCTCGCCGGCCGAATCGAACTGCTGAGAACGTCGCGCGGCGAATGAAGCTAAATCGGCGACTGCCAATGGCATATATACTTGGGCGACGATTTTAAGCAAAACTTCCACCTGCCGCAGTCGCAATTTCAGCGGCAGCAGCAGCGGTCGGGCAGCGCACAAAACGGTTAAAAATTGTTTAAATTGTTGTCGACGGTTGAAGCTCGCCGTCGACTGTCGCTTTTTAACGCTTTCTGATAGCGTGCCAAATATCGCATGCGATTCGCGAGCAAAAAACCGACAAATTTTTAAACAAAAAATCACAAAATCGTGCTAAAATGTAAATCAATAAACACGGTGACTAATAATTCAAAAATATGACCACATTATATTAACTTTGTACTAATTATTTGGGTAAATGCAGCCAAGCGAATCTTAGAATAGTTTACAGCCGCAATTCGTAGACATTTTTACAGTTGAAAAAGCCCAAAAACCAGACCTGAGCTCAATAAATTAAAAAAAAACACGCTTATAAAACACGTGTCGCGAAAACTCACTTGACCGTTTCACTTGTTTTACAATTTTGTTTAATTAGCGCACTTGGCAAATGACAGTGAAAAGCCACAGAAGCGCAGAGCCCACTTTATGGGCTTGAGTTTATTTATTAAATATTCACCGATACCCGCAAATAACTTTTCACACCGCTCACCTCGGATAACTCTATTTCCAGAATAGCTTTAAAAACACATTCGCTACTTTCGGCTGCTCAGCGCTGCTTGACTTTATGGCGACACTTAGCTTCCTGGCCAACTATCTCACGATGTGTGGGCCATATAATGTACTTTATCTCCAACTTCTACCAACAGAGCACATATGTGTTGCCGGTCCATAAAGCTTAATTGATGCATTTGGCTGCTTGTTTCAGATAAGCAGTGATTATGAGTGGAAACTGTCAGCCGTTCGGATATGAATTAATGACAAGCATCTTTTCTCTTACATGTCTGGAGTCAACGTACCGAAGGCAAATCAAGTATCTTCCGCAAACATAAGATAAACATTATATAAGGTGCATGACCATTGAATGGCAGCGTTCTTAAAACTTATTTAATTCGCAACTGTAGCTTAACACATCTTGCTCCTTCATAATGAGAATTATTTTAGTACTTCTTTGCTAATGACAACGGTAAATAAACAATCGAATAATTTCAGTAAGAAACGCAGCTTGACTAAGATTTTAAACAGAGAGGATAAACAAAAAAATTCTTCAAGTGTGAATCTTTCACGAAGTATTCACATATAGCATGCGGCGGGCACAGTCTTTTCCTACGAGCTTGCTGTACTCAATCATTGTATCGGCATCGGGGTCTGGACCGCAACGCTGTCAAAGATTCACATTAAGTATAGGCTTGTATAAAATTTCAATGTAAGACATACCTGCACATATTGTTTGTACGTAGCACAGGATTTAGCATCCACCAGCAACATAACTTCGTCTAAATGCTCCATTAAAAACTCATTCACATCCTTGGCATCAGCATTTGGGTTTAAGCGTTGGTATTTGTGTTCGTCTAACTTCGAACGAATGGCTACACAGTGATAATATTAGAGTACGAAAGAGCTAAGGGTTGTGTAAACACAAAATTTACCATCTGTAAGTGGTATCCACTCATAAGTCTCTGGGCACAGCAAATAAGAAGCGGACAACTTGCCCTTGTAGCGCATTTTGGGACAGGAATGAATGTAGAAACCCATGTAGTAATACTTTAAGGCAGGCACTTTCTCGGCTAACGACTGCAGCAAATCAATTTCCCTGAAAGGATTCTATTTATGTAATAAAGTTTTGATACTCGCAGATCTTTGGTTACCTGAGTGATCCATATGTGCCTAGTGATAGGAAGCTGTAGTCCGGATCGTAAAAGAAATAAACTGAGCTAACACAGCCTGGCAGAATATCAATCACGCCCACAGCAATCAGCTTGTCATCCAGCCAATATTGCTGATGGAAAGATCCATAACCCATTTCGGGACCATCGTTTGGTTTTTCGTTCTGCAAACGAAAAAGAGTAAGCCGGGATCAATTAAATAAAATTAAATATCGATTTCAAAACACTAGAAATAGGTAAAACCTTCATGGGCGTCTGCTGCAGATGATCCTTGTAGGCCTGTTGATCTGCGGGCGGATCGTTGTGTATCGATATCTGATACTTTTTGTAGAGCGCAAAGCTCTCGGTCAGAGTTCGATTGAATTCCTCGCCGTGTACGTGCACCAATCGCAGCTGTGAATACATTTTCGATAAGGTGAATAGGCATTTATAATTACCTTAAGAGGTGAATTGACCAAGAACCGCTGCATACTAGCTAGGGTGAGGCGTGCGGGGTTATCATTGTGAATGGTTATTTGGTATTTGCGATACAACTCGATCACTGCATCGGCACAAGTGCGCTGTGTGTCTGAGGATTCGACCAAAACGATCTGCAAGAACACAAACAGCACAAAGACAGTGGGTCTACATGTAGAGGAAGTCCCTTACTTTGGGGTCGAACATAGAGAACACAAAATCACAAATCAACACATTACAACAAAGAATCACGCTAACCCTCCCACTAAGCTTTGCAAACGGTCTAACAATAATATGAATCTACAAACATTTTCCAGTCACTTACCTTTAGCTGATGCTTGTTGGTCTCGCTGTCCGATGACAAGAAGTCACGTAGGCTCTTTTCCTGGGAAAGGGATTTCGTTGAGGTTGAGGCGGTGTCTCCCAGTTTGGCTTGCCGGCGCTCCAATCGCATTTGCTTGGCCTTCTTGCGCGGCGTGTTTGAGATCGGTGCAGCAGCTGATAAACATAAATGTATGTAAAATAAACATGTTTTTTCAACATTGACCGAATATACCCACATTTGTTGGAGCCCAGCGTTGGAGGTTCAGCCGGTGGAGCAGCTGCCTGTTTGATCGGCGTCTTTTTCTGAGCACGTGCCAGTGATGCAACCTGCTCCACATTGATTACAACCGGACTCTTATCGGGCAGCTGTGGCTGCGGCTCGCTGGCAGTGACCTCGGAAGCTCCTGTGGCGTCATCGAGATCGCCGTCACCCTTCATATCGCCCGCTTCCGGTTTCGACTCCCGCTTGCCATCGCGCAAAAATCGATTCATGCGGCGCAGAATGCGCTTGTGCGACTTGGACAGCTTGAACTCCAGCCCGTCGCACTTAATCGTGTAGCAGGGACAGCAGGTCTCCTGGTTGCGCAGCTTGTAGCAGTATTTTCCACAGCGGCGCCATCCTCGATCGATGAGATCTTGGTAGTCCTGACAGTCCAGCCGATAGGCGTGCATACCTGCATGACGAATGCGCGATTAATGGGTACATTGCACCTGGGACCGGACTGGTTTTGCATTTTCTTACCGTGCGACAGGCTGCAGTTGGTGCCGGCGCAATAGCCACACTTGCTCTGCTGGCTGCCGTAGTACTGCACAATGCTGACACTCATTGTTATGTTATTCTGACACCGACTAGTAGGAAAACATAGTGCATTTAATAGCCGCGAATTTATTAAGCAACGGAGCCCCTATTGCGAAATTTTTATACTTGCAGTGTGACCAGAGCTACGGTGTTGGCAAATCCACTCAGACCTGAAAAACAAGTGGATTCTTTAATGTTATTTATAGCATGATTTCACTGAAACAGTTCTTAATTTCTGTTAAATTGAAGTCGTTCATTTTTAATCCACAGCTTAAGTATAAGTCAATTATTTAAGTTTTTAATAAAAACAAACTGTTTCATAATATAAAAATGTGGTTTAAACGATTACAGAAAGGAACATTATTTAACAAACAATCTTTTCGACGGAAAGGAATATCGAAAAACAGTGTCATTTTCATATTTAAAATATTATTTAAATAGAATATTTAGATATTTTTTTTATTTTAACATAATTTGGAAATGTTAACAACGAAAATATTCGGAACTCCCCTATTGTAATGTCCAAGGAACTTTAATAATTAAACACAGCCACTCTAATCGTCATTCAGTTAAATCGCTCGCAAAGTCTTGTAACAAATAGTTATGCTAGATGCCGCAATAGTTAGCCCAATTAAAAATGTATTGAGCTAAAAATAGACATTTTAATTTGTAAGTAAATTATAAAAGGATAATATAAAGGAGAACCGAATACAAGCATGACACCCCATCACTAAGAAATTAAGAAAATTTGTCTCAGTGCGTAGTTCTCAAGTGAAAGTTTTTATGGCTTTTCTTCGCTTTACATTGTAATTAATCGTTTGTAAACGTCAAAGTCATTTAGTTGTTTTATATTGCCAAATATAACACAAATAACGGCTCGTTGTTTATTCAAATCTAATGCAAAAATGTAAACTGGTTTTAAAGCTCTAGATTTAAGACGACCTTCATACCTTCAAGTTAGTCACTCTAATCCGGAAAAACAATTCAGTCGTTGCAGTTGGTTTATCACCTGCCAGTGTGTTCGTGTAAATCAGATAGCCTTTGTGTGCACTAGTGGCTAACAAATGGATTAACTTAATTTTCTTTGCAGCGCAAAATGATTGATGCGGCTTCCGCCGAAAGGGGAAACCCCAAGTTGATTGGCCTCTTTAATGACAATCTGAAATTGGGCCACGAGGACGATAACCCACACAAGCCAGTGAATGGAAAGGACACCCACGTACCCGCCGACCTGCAACCGGCCTACGGAAATCTTTTCTCCGCTTGCCAGGATCATGCCGCCTTTTTTGCCAGGGACCACACCGAATTCGGTCAACGATTGCACGCCGCTCACATTGCCTGGCAGGACTTTATTGTCCTAGCCAACCGGCTGGTCTTGCAGATCGATGAGTTCGCTCATGAGTACGACTTCGATGAGCAAACGCCAGGAAATGGCTACCGCAGCTTTATTTACGTGACCAATGCCTGCATTACGCATGGAATCAGCATTTGCCAGCAGCTCACGGCCACCCGATCCACTATGTTCTTTCGCAAGAAGTTCTACATGAAGGAGGTGGAGGCGTGCTCGCAGCTCCTATCCTCACTGTGCACCTGTCTGCAGTACCTGCTGATCCTGCGCCAGTGGTCCTTCAACACGGGGGATCTCTTTGCCTGTGGAAACCATACGGCGGAACAGCTCTTCGAGCTGGGCGACACGATCAACCAGTATTGCTTTTACGGGCGCTGTCTGGGCTTCCAGTACGGCGACTCGATTCGCGGCGTTCTCCGTTTTCTGGGCATCAGCATGGCCAGCTATTCGGAGTCGTACTATTCGCAAGAGGGCGACGGAACCATCATAAAGACCACTCGCAGCTTGTGGACCAGCGGCAAGTATCTAATGAATCCGGAACTTAGAGCTCGTCGCATTGTTAACATCTCACAGAATGCCAAGATCGACTTTTGCAAATCCTTCTGGTTTCTGGCTGAGTCAGAGCTGATGCATAAGCTCCCCAGCATCGTGGGCAGCTCTATAAAGGTAAATCGGTTGATCGAACTGCCAGCCGAACCGCTGAAGTTGCCGCGACGAAAGAACTTCAAGGCGATGGAAAACCCCAGCAGTGATGTCAATCAGAACCAGGGAGATGATGACTTTGTGGAGATTCCAGTGCCCTCCGCTCATCTTGGACCAGGTTTGCCGGTTTCGGTTCGCCTGTTGAGCGCCAAGAGAAGATCGGGAATGCTGGGCGAAGGAAAATATCGCGGTTGGCACAAACCCACACCGCCAAGTCCCTCAATTCTATTTCACTGCCATGGCGGCGGCTTTGTGGCCCAGTCATCCAAATCCCACGAACTTTATTTGCGCGACTGGGCTGTGGCCCTGGATTGTCCCATTCTTTCGGTGGATTACAGTTTGGCGCCAGAGGCACCATTTCCACGCGCCTTGCAAGAGGTTTACTACGCTTACTGCTGGCTGCTGGAAAATACTGAACTTCTGGGCACAACGGCTGAAAGGATTGTGTGTGCAGGTGATTCCGCAGGGGCAAACCTTTCCATTGGAGTGGCCCTGAAGTGCATCGAGCAGGGAGTCCGAGTGCCCGATGGACTGTTCCTCGCCTACTGCCCGACTCTCGTTAGCTTTGTGCCCAGTCCTGCCCGCCTTCTCTGCCTGATGGATCCACTGCTGCCTTTTGGTTTTATGATGCGATGCCTTCGTGCCTATGCAGCACCTGCCCAGGAGACGCTGCAGGAGAATGCCAAGCATGTGGAGGATGCTGCGCAGATTCGGAACGCACAGAAATCGAACGTGTGTAGCTTGAACTCCAGTCGCCGCACCTCGATGGCCAGAAGTCCGCTGACGCCGCTGGAAGCCAACACCGAACGCGATGACGAGAGCAGCGATACATTTGCCAGTGCCTCGGCTTCTTACCACAGCCAGACCGTGGAACGGACCGATCTACCAAATAGCGAGGGCGACAACAGTTCGTGTGTTTCCTTCGAGGACGACTCCCAGCCCATTGTCCACTACCCAGTCGAAATTTCCGCCGACCCACCTAAAGATCCAGCCTGTGCAGCCTATATTGACAACTTTCTGGACAAATATCTTATTGACACGGCTACCATGGAGGTAACCGAGGACACAGCCGCTGAGGCACCACAAGCCCAGGCCAATGGACATGCCAAGATCAGCTCGGATGACGATATTCTGGTGGAGACAGGTCGCGACCTTGTTGCGATGGATACCTTGCACGGACGACTGCAGGAAGCTGTTAATAATATAACCACCACCTTGACCCGCTGCACGCAATCCTACGAGATCCATGGAAGCAATCTGATGGGTCAGCAGGATGTGCGCAACATGGACGCTTTGATAGCAAGGAGTCCCAGCGAGGAGTTTGCCTTCGATGTGCCTAAGGATCCATTTCTATCGCCTTACTGGGCGAGTGACGAATGGCTATCCCAGCTCCCAGAGACCAAAATACTTGTAAGTTTATAAGTTATGTACAATAATAATGACTAAATAATTTGTTCTTCCCATTTAGACTCTGAATATGGATCCCTGTTTGGATGACTGCGTTATGTTTGCCAAGAAACTAAAGCGACTTGGTCGCCAAGTGAACTTGGAAATTTTGGAGGGACTTCCGCATGGATTTCTTAATTTCACTATGGTATGAAAGTTCTTGGCAAACGAAATAAACTAAACTAATTTCACTTCATTTTTCTCAGTTATCCAATGAAGCGATGGAGGGATCCAAAAACTGCATTAAATCTTTACAGACGTTGCTTCAGGTAAATCCGAAGCACAAAACCAATGACAAAGTCAACTCACCAGACACCGAAGATTCCTCCAGTCCCAGTACAAGTTTGGCTGCTTCCTAGGATGAATTTCAGTCGGTCTATACGCCTATAGGACTGGAGAACCCAACACCCAACGAGGAACAATAAACACCGATGGTAATTGTGAGTGACAATGGCGTTTCAGCCTCACTGTAAAATATTGTCACCTGCATTTATCCCTTTTGGATTTCTCCTTTCGCATAGGTGTATAAACCGAAATTTGTTATGCGCAGGAACGAAATGTTCATTGTTAAACGCACTCTTCTTGCTTTTTACTACTTTGTAATCTCAAATGTTTTTTATACACTTTTATATGACACGGCTTTCTATGTTTTATATACTCACAAAATATGTATAGGATATATAGCTTTTAGCATAAGCAAGCCAAGTATGCAAGTATTGGAAGCGTGTAAACACGCACTATTTATTATGTATTACGATTAACGCTCTTGATTCCAGGCACACACTCGCTAAACGCTGTTTAATGCAAAACTCCCGAATATGTGCCTGATACGAAACGAGTACTTATATACAAGTGTATAGATTATTCGCCAATTACCCTTATTTTCACACTCCCCAAAGTGTGTCCAGATTTTTTGGCACCATGGAGGCTAACCAAGTTAAACTTAAAATATTTTGGAGGTACGCCGAGTTTTCTTTGCCTATCCCACGCGAAACCGTCTGAATGTATATCTCCGGTACACCAGGTGTTTGATATACTATTTCACATTATATTATTATATATGTATATTTGTTTGCAATCTCCCTCCTTAAACTATACCCAGTGTTATACATAAAATGCCAATAAACGGTTAATACTCTCAACAAGAATTGGACAATTTACAAAACCAAAAGTTAACATTACACAATATAGCTTTTATTGATCAAATACGTGGATTTTACTTAAACTTAGGAATGAATTGTACGCGGGAGAATGAGAGGATAAGATCGGGATATAAATATGAGAGGGCATCGCAGCTGGCTTATGTTTCGTTGTCCTCGATCTTGGGTGCCAGGTAGTAGCGTATGTGGCCCAGATCCTTAATCGCATACTCAACAACCAGCGGCACATCGGCGCACATCGACAGCTGCACCTGGGTGGACAATGGCGTGGCCTTTGTGAAGGCGTTCAGGTAGCGACAGGCAAATGTCAGTGTCACCGGCTCCTGCATCTCGATGATGACAGCCTCCTCCTCCTTGTCAACGGAACCAGTTTGGGCCAGTTTAATGTTGGCCGTTCCGACATCGCCGCTGGCCGAGAACTTGACACCCTCTTTGGTGCAGCAGATGACCACGGATTCGCTGAACTGAGCCAAATCGCGGCAGATGCGAGCAAACTCCATGGCCGGCATGCGAACGACGCAGGAGAAGTCCGTTTCGGGGATGCCCAGGTGCTCCTGGTCGAGGTTCATCAGCTTCATCTCGTAGTCAGAGACCTTCTCCTGGTTGGCAGACTCGAACATGATGGTGACCGTGTCGGCGTTATCCTGCGCCTTCATCGTCACATTGTCCTCGTTGTTGGCGCACTTGAGGATCTTGGCCATGCTGCCCAAGTTCATGCCCATGGAGAGGTTGCGGTCGCAGCGGAACTTGTCGAAGCCATCGGAGCGCAGGGTCAGGGACACGAGGGACACATGGGAGTTGTCCATGGCCTGCAGCTGTGGGTAAAAATGCGTCGTTATTACTTCTTATGATGAAATTTTTCGTGTATTTTATACCTGAATGCCGGAGTCGCTGCAATCGAAGGTGGCCTCGTTGAGCAGATCCTTGATTGCGTCCAGGATCTTCTTCAGGATGGTGGCTTGACCCAGGCGTGCTTCAAACATGTTTAAATTGTTTTATTGTTTACAAAGTAGTGCAAAATATGCGAATTCTGCGCGCATAAACTAGACTCTGTTTAATTTTGATGAGGTGCCTCTCCAAAAAACTGATGGTTAGTTAATAAAGTAAAAACTTATTTCGAGGAATGTTGCCGCGGCGGTAACTAGAAAATGAATGAAGAACGTGGGCAAATTTTCGCTTATGGATTGGATCGGGCGGGCTAAATGAGCGGGATAGTGATGTGAAAAGCCACAGGGGAAATCGATTGCACAAAGAGCAGCTATCAATAGCACCCCGCACCCGAACTGCCAACTTGAGAGAATGATATAAAGCATGTGGTCACACTAAGGACAATAATTTATATTTTAAACTAAATTTATAAATTGCAAAATAATGACGTCACAAAATATTAACGCAGATAATTATCAATAAAAGTACAGGGCGGTGCAACGTTCTTCCTATTCAAACGTGCTGCTTGTTTCATCATTCGGCGTAGATCTTTAACTCCTAGACCTGCAACCAGTTTACAAACATGAAAGCTAAACTAAATAAAAAAACTTGATGTACTCACCATGAACTGTTTGAATTTCTTTTAAGTTTTTCGGATCCAACTGAGTAAAATATGCCTCCAGGGCGGAATGGTTTTGCATGATGGCCACGCAGACAGCCGGGATCATTGAGGAAAGATTGAAATCATTGTAAGATCTTCGACGTAAAAGCTCCTTAACTAGAGGCAAATGACCAGCATAGCTTGCTAAGGTTAGGGCATTTTGTCCAAAGTAGTTAATGGCATAGATATTTCCTCCAAAATCTAGAAGCGTTCGAGCGCACTCATATCGGCCCAAATAGCAGGCTTTCAATAAAGCAGTGTTCCCATACATGTCTACTTCCTCAAGACTATGTTTGTCATCTCGAGCCATTGTGCAAAGTATTCGTAGGGAAACAATATCATCGTGTCCCACGCAGCTTAGAGCTTCAAAAAATTAATTTAATTTATTATTTTAGTTTTTATTGCAAGCTTAAAGTACCATTTATTTCATCCATTCTGCATGCTTTTCATATAACGGCGCTTTGCGGAAACCAACGATGTTATACTATCGTTAAAGGTTAACGAGCATAAGGGCATTCTGTTGTGAAGTAAACTGAAAAATAGTATACAATTAAAATAATTAATTTTAAAAAAATGTTCACTAGGAACTTAAAATTTCTGTTCGGTTGATTTTAAAAGGTTTTGAATACATCGCGGGCTTTATATTTACAAAGTTGGGTTGGAGCATAGTGCGTAAAACAGCACAGAGCTATCGAGTTAGCAGCACGCTGTGTAACATAGTGTTCCTTTTTTAGTACCTTCTTTGCGCCTGAGGGAGCCACATTATTTCGGCCTTCTTTTCTTTTCCCGTTTCCGGTGAGTGGTGTGCTTCGCGTTAGATTTTGCATTAATTTTAACCAAAATATCTTTTTATTTGTTGCAGTGAGGAGTAAATACGAGAATACAAACGGCAACATGGTGAGTGGTCGTAAAAAGAACCGAAATTCTGGTCATCAAAAGCGATTGACCTCAGAGAAACTAACTGTTTAGTTGGCTTCTGTTGCAAAAAATGCGAAAATCGCATGGCTTGGAATGCATTGTACTAATGTTTTCTCAATCCCTTGCAGTCGCTCGTCATCCCAGAGAAGTTCCAGCACATCCTGCGTATCATGAATACGAACATCGATGGTAAGCGCAAGGTTGGCATCGCCATGACCGCCATCAAGGGAGTTGGTCGTCGCTACTCCAACATTGTGCTGAAGAAGGCCGATGTGGATCTTACCAAGCGCGCCGGTGAATGCACCGAGGAGGAGGTAACCCAGAGGAACCCAGCCCACTCAAGACACGCCCACTAATCCCGGCTTTACGCTCATTTCCAGGTCGACAAGGTGGTCACCATCATCTCGAACCCTCTGCAGTACAAGGTTCCCAACTGGTTCCTCAACAGGCAGAAGGACATCATCGATGGCAAGTACTGGCAGCTGACCTCCTCCAACTTGGACTCCAAGCTGCGTGACGATCTTGAGCGCCTGAAGAAGATCCGCTCTCACCGCGGTCTGCGTCACTACTGGGGCCTCCGTGTCCGTGGCCAGCACACCAAGACCACCGGTCGCCGTGGTCGCACCGTGGGTGTGTCCAAGAAGAAGTAAGCTGCTTGACGTTTCCCGTCGGATTTTCGAGTCTACTTTAATTTACACCCAAAACAACATCCACACAATAAATGAAAACACGGAAGCCGAAACGTTTTAGTGCGGAGTTTACGTGAAGTTTGTTATATATTTTTTACGTGTCGTCTACGTGTTGGCGCCATCAAAAATTAGCAGTTCGTACACATGTTGTCCAGTGGTCCAACGCCGGCGAAACCGCAGAGCAGCATCTGCCTGTTGTGGCTGGTCATTTGCAAGACGGCTCGGTTGCAGTTGGCCAACACGCTCACCACCGTGATCATCATTGTGGGGCCCATCGTTGTCTTCGTCATCTACTCGGCTTCGGTTTTGTTCCGGGAACCGCAGCAGGAGCCGACGAAAGAGCATCCACCCATCAATATCACAACGAAAAGGCCGTACGTATTAGGCACCTCCACTGACTGCCAAAATAATCAAGGCCGCCTTGTCGAACCAGGTACGTTTACTACTCGCCTGACAATCTTGTGGTGGCGGGCCTCATCGAGGATGTGGTTCGCGACCTTAAGGCCACAGGCAGCCAAGCCTTTCCCAACGCCCATAAGCTGAACGATGCCCTCGTAACGAGGGATGAACACGGCTTCGTTGGCATAGAGTTTGATGACAGCTTCAGCGGTATTGATGCTCTTCCGGACAAAGTCACGGTGGCCCTGCGCTTTCCACTCCACCTATTCAGTAATCCGAAGCTGAGATGGGACAGCAGTGCAATCTACAAGCACTCAAACCTGGAAACCGATTACTATATAGTCGAGGGATTCCTAGTTGTGCAGGCCAAGCTGAGCGAGGCGCTGATCAGAGCCAAAAATGAAAATGCACGACTACCGGAAGTTTTCCTAAAACGCTATCCCAAACCCAATAAGGAGGAGGAAACGGTTACGGACAATCGGGTGGCTCTGGCCGGTTCCTTTCTTTTCCTGCCCTTCTCCATATCCGCTGCATATCTGGCTCAAGTACGATATTCAAGCTCTTTTAAGTGTTGAATTTAGTTAATATGTACTTTTAGATGATTGTGATGGAGAGGCGGCAGCATCTGAGGGCCATGTTGCAGCTTTTGGGCGTAAGATCATGGGTATACTGGCTCTCCTGGTTTCTGGTGGGCTTTGTCCTCTTGTCCATTCCCACTCTGTTCATGGTTATTCTGCTGAAATGGCGCTTCTATCCGCTGAGCAACTACTCTGTGGTGCTGGTCTTTTTCCTGGTCTACAACTTGGAGATCCTGAGCTCTGCCTTTATGTTCTCGGTCTTTTTCTCGGACACCGTGGGGGTTCAGGTGGCCATCCTGGTTGTGCACCTGCTTAGTGGCCTTCCCTGGCGCCTTCTACTAATGGGCTACAGGCCCACTTATTTCCGTGCTATTTTCGCCTTGTTTTTCCTAAACAGCTCGTTGGCCATGGGATTGCGAGATATCATCAATAATGAGAACCTTAACTTGGGATCGAGCTGGAGTGAGTTCTTCAAGGGAACTGATCCCGTGGGCTTAATTACCTTGGGTCCCATCCTGATGTTCATGTTGCTTGGCAGTCTGGTTCACCTGCTTATCCTGGCTTATGTCGAGAAGCTGCAGAGTTTTGGCAGAAGAAAGTGGTACTATCCACTCCAACCGTCCTTTTGGTGTCCTCGGAAAAGGCGGCCGCGATCAAGAGCCGGGGATATTGAAAATCAGCATCAGGAAGAAGCGTGGCCAAGGAACCGCCAACTTGTAATCCGTGCAAGGGAACTTGATAAGATCTACAACGAGCGCTATTCGGTCAATTATCTCAATCTGGATTTTTACCAGGACGAGGTCACAGTTATCCTGGGTCATAATGACTCCGGAAAGTCCACCGTCCTCATGCTTTTGGCCGGCTTTGTGGAGCCGAGTTCCGGCAAGGTGACCATCAATGGATATGATATGGTCACCGAGACGAGGAAGGCCCGCCGATCGATGTTCATTTGTCCGCAGCAAAATGTGCTCTATGAAAAATTGAAGACCAGGTGGCACCTCAAGTTCTACTGCCGGCTGAAGGGGATGAACAGAAAGGAGGCTTCTGCCGAGGCGGATAGATATCTGGAGATCGGAAAACTGCAGGACTTTGCCAACATCAAGGTGATGGATCTGCCCAGCGGATTGAAGCGGATGCTACTGCTGTGCTGTGGACTGTGTGCTAATTCAAAGATCCTCCTGCTGGACGAACCGGGCACCAGCTTGGATCCCCTCCTGCGTCGCGAGATGTGGGATCTGTTGCGAAAAGAGCGAAAGGGGCGCTGCATCATCTTGTCCACCCACAATGTGCACGAGGCCGAGGTGGTGTCCGATCAGATAGTGGTCCTCTGCGATGGCGAGGTGCTGGGATATGGAACCCAGGTGTCGGACGCAGGCTCGTTCTACCTGCTCATTTGCACCAAAATGTATGCCTGTGAGGTGTCAGAGGTGACGCACTTTCTGCAGAATCGATTTGAGGACATCAGGCTGCATGATGAGTACGGCGTCTTTGTGTCCTACGAGCTGCCCACCAAGTATGTGCCACAATTCGCGGCCCTATTTCTGGATTTCGAGAGGGCATTAGTGGATCTGAAGATCCAGGAGTTCAGTGTGCGTGCTCCCACGCTGGGGAGTGCTTTTCTGCGGATTGGAGAGGAGATGATGGAGGCCGCGAACAAGCGTGATTCCCACAACGTCATGGTGCGCTCATCGCCCATGGCGTCTCTGATTGGTCAGTATTTATTGTTATTTCATATAAAATAGTCCTTACCTTAACAACATACATTCAACCTAAAAGTAGGCATTGAAGAAATATTTCCTTATCAATGCATACTTTTAAACTTAATATAATAATAAGTATTATTGACGATTTTATAATTAATAAGCCCATTTTACTTAACGTTTTCATTAGTTACTGGTCTCTTTATTTAAAGTTGTCTTTTCTCTTGCAATTTTCAGATATACTGCCCAGTTTTGAGGTCCGTGAGGATAATGGTCGGCAGAAGTGCTGCAACCAGTGGCGGGCAATCATGGAGAAAAAGCGCCTCTTCGCTTGGCGCCATCGGAAGCTCTACTGTCTGATCATCTTGCTGCCGATCATCATCTGCCTGCTGGTCATCGGATTTGATGTAATCCTCTTCATGATCGAACACGAGCTTTCGGAGCTGCTGGTGACGGATCTCAGTCCCTATTCCAAGCCAGTGTTTGTGGTAAAATCCGATGATGAGAACAATATGCTTGTCAAAAGCTACAGGCAAATCGTTGTGGGCCAAGGAGCTGATGTCCAAGATACGGGAGAAACTGCTCTACACGAGTATCTTCTTAATCAGATGAAGTTGGACGAGACCAAGGTGCAGCGATCCTTTCTGGCTGGTGCTACTTTTAATAGCGAGGAAAACTCGATCACCGCCTGGTCAAACTACAATCTTGAGCACGGCTCCCCACTTTCGTTGGGATTGGTTTACGCGGCCATTGGACAGGAGCTATCCAATCTGGAGATCGGGATTGTAAACAAGCCTTATCAGGATTCATTTAGCTTCCAACTCGGAAGCCTTAGTAGTCAGAGTTCCGTTGAATACGTCATGCTCGTGTTCCTTTATCTTATCCTGGCGACCTCAATTTTCGCCGTGTTGCCAGTTACTGAAAGACAAAACTTCGAACAGCATCTGCAATTCAGCAGTGGCATGAGCAGGATCACCTATTGGTGTTCGCACCTCTTCTGGGACTTTTGCCTCTTTGTCCTCATGGTCATTTCCATAATCATACTCGCCGGATTCACCTCGGGATCAGTTATTTCCTTAACGATAATTCTGTTCGCCTTTGGATTCTCTGTGATATCGTTTACCTACTTGTTGGGACTTCTGTCCAACGACTTGGGCAGGATGTTCAGCATCATTTTGTACGTCAACATGATAGGTAACCAGTTATTTATTTATTGCCTTATAGTATTATAATTTATTCAAATACCTTTTCTTAGGGATTCTTGCACTGTTCATCCATCCCAAGAGCAATGAATTTCGCTATTCCTTTTTGAAGCCGTGCTCTTAATTCATCCACATTATTCGTTATTTTGTGGCTTGCAGGATATCATAAAAATGGATAAGTTTCTACATGCTTACGGATCTGAAATTCATTATGCAGGTTCTGACAATCCGGAAGAGCCTTCGCATCCCTACACCTTTAGGAACCTTAATTACCTGATCGTTACAGGACTGGTTTATTTCACCTTGGTCCTTATGACTTGGGTTCCGCGTCGTATTAAATACCTTTACCAGTTGAGTTAAATGAAACAATTAAGAGTTAAGATACTAATTTCCCACTTTTAAAGAGCTGTAAGAAACGAAAAAGTTGAACCTAACTTCCAATTCGAGGACATAGAAGTCAACAAAATCCGGCAGAAATTGGATCTTTTGACCACCAGGCAATACTCGCGCTATCCTCTTATTCTTAAGAACGTATCCAAGCGCTACGGCAACTTATTGGCAGTGCGATCATTATCGTTGGCCCTTGATCCGTGAGTGAAAACAAAGGTTTATAATAATGATAATAAGTAGATTAACCTTCCTTTTAGATACGAATGCGTTGGACTGCTGGGCAGGAACGGAGCGGGCAAGTCAAGCACCTTCTACATGATCTCGGGCAAACAATCTATCACGGTGGGCAGCATCCACATCAAGGGCTTCAGCTTGAAGCGTCACCCCAAGAACGGCCTGCGACACTTGGGCTTCTGTCCGCGGGAGGAGATGCTTTCGCCGTACATGACTGGCAGGGAGGCACTGCGCTTCTGGTGCATGGTCAATGGCATCCGACGGAGTCATATCAGGTCACTGGTGAACTGGATGGCCGACTGCTTTGGACTCGTCCGTCACTTGGATAAGCGTATCAGCACTTACAGCAATGGCACAAAGCGGAAGCTGATGATTGCCATGGCCATATTGGCGCCCACTCTGATGTGCCTCGATGAACCCACCGCTGGCGTGGATATGCACGCCAAGTACGAAATCTGGAGCTTATTGGAGGGCATCCGTCGCAGTGGGCGGGCCATCCTGCTCACCACGCACAGCATGGAGGAGTGCGAGCTCCTGTGCACCAATGTGGGCATCATGGATCGCGGTACTCTTCTGTGCTTCGGATCCCTGTCGCGATTAAAGTATCGCTTCAACATGGGCATCTTCATCAAGGTGAAGTTGGGCACTCGAGCGGAACTCAATGCGGCTAATGAGGATTGGAATCAATTAAGTGAAGTTGGGAGCTCTGCCGGTTCTTCTCGACCGCCCCGTCAAAGGCATTCATCGATCACTATGTCGCAGCGGAGCTCTCAAAGGACAGAGGTCTTGAGCCTGGAATCAGACAACGGGGAGGATTATGAGCGTCTACTTCAGAGATTGGAGGAAGTTTTTATGGAGGACCATCCCTATAGCACGGTCAGGTATGCTAAACTAATTGATTACCAAACTAATGGTTGGTTTTGAATTTTTAATCTTTTTAAAATTACTAAGCACTTTCTAACAAAGCCAAAACACCCATTTTGAAACTTGTGGTTCTAAATTTAGGACCATGATCCATCAAATAATATTTGGCATTTGTCTGTTAGCCAAGCAGATAAAACTGATAAATAAGTAGGTCAAACATAGGACTGCGAGAATAAAATATGTGTCCTATAATAAATGTTCTTATTTATCGTTTTATTTGCAATAACACAGATATGCAATTATCATCACATTGCAGGAAATGTACTGCAGATTTAATGAAACTAGTTCTGTAAAGAGTAATTGTATTTTTTAACCAATATCTTTTAGTGTTCAATCCCACATCCCTAAACCAATTTTCTTTCCCCAGCGAAAAGTACTCCAACCGAGGAATAATAACCTTTTGCATACCAACCGGTGAGATAAAGTGGTCCGGGATCTTTAAGTACATGGAGAGCATAAAGACAGAAATGCAGATATTGTACTACTCGGTCAGTCACACAACTTTCGAGGATGTGTTCATGGAGTTCGTCAGAAAGCATAATCAGTAGAATAGTAAATTCCTTGATGAATCAGTCGTACTCGGACCCCTTATCGTATCAGTATTGATTGGATCTTTGAGCTATGCTGCTATCTGTGAAAGCTAGTGCCAAAAATGCTAACGAATCGCTAAATTCATCGTTGCGAAAAGAGTAAATAAATCAAACTTTTTGCCGAATCATCAACCGGCATTTTTGGCCAACGAATACTCTCCAAAGGGAGGAATTTGTGAAATTATTCTTATATTTGTATGTATTTTATTTTTACCTTGCCTACAAATAAATATAAAATTGTAAGGTTCTTCTAAGAATTCACGAAGTGTCAAGATTAAAAGATATTCTAACGAAACTACAAAGAGAAACCAAAAGTCGTTTGATATCTAACTATTATTTTCAGTCGTTTTGTGTTCTTCTTTCGCCAGAACATTAGCCAAACATGTGTGTCATGCGAGACTATTGGTACTTTGAACTCGCGACCAGAATCAGAAAACTTTCCACAAACAAGACAATCGTGGAGAAGTTCTATTAACGATGTTTCACCATACACATTTCAATTTGAGTTTGTTTTGAGACAAACCCATTCACATGGTTGACCCATGCCTCTTCCAATTTTAAGCAATTTGTTGTCTCCTACCCTTAATTAGACTTTGTTCCGCATGGCGCAATAGTCAATTGGCAAAGGTAAGCGCGCAACTTATGGCATTGGTTCCAAAATAGATTCCTCATTGAGTAAGCAATGTTGGGAGAGCCTCGCACAACCTTGATTGCGTACGAATTTGCTTATCAGAGGAAGTTCCGCAGCTCATCGTGATTTCTAGAAAACATATAGACCTCTAAAAGTTATTAACAAATTTCCAGCCGCAGCTTAATTAAAAGTTTCATGTGTCCAGAAAAGAAACACGTGCCTTTCCAATCACAATTTGTAAAACAATATTTAATGGTCAGCAGTTGGTTTTCACAAATACATATAACTTTCACTGCCTAGTTTTATTATTGTTCAAAAGTTGATTGCGACACAACACGCTTATATATAATTCTATAGTATATTTCTGTAAACACAATTCACAATGCTAAGAACATTTAGTAACTATTAATAGTGGTGCTCACTGTAGTGTATATTTAAAGCCCTGACCTCGAACTGCATTATGTATACAATGATAGATGATTATGGAAACTATGGAAATATCGATAAGCTGAGTAGATGCGTTTAATTAAATTAAGTAGGTGTGTATATAAATATCCCAATAAAATTAAGTTTTAAGTTACAATTAAATCAATAAATAATGTGAGGCATTGTGGCTGTCAATGCTCGACATCGGAAAGTAATCCAAAGTAGTTATTGTCGCTTATTAAAGTCTAATGAGGTAGGCTCCTCCTCTTCAAATATAAGTGTAAAAAACATTTAACTATTCTTACGAGGCCTCTTAATTATTTGTTTGTGAACAACAACACGGCAACACGGCTAATAACTACTAATTATCGTTTTTTATATGTATGTATATGGAAGACTCTGTTTTGGTCGCTCTGTATGTAGTTTTGTTCACACAGGTATACAAAAAGGTCACATAGTTATGCACTTTTAGGTACGACATCCGTAACAAGACTAAGCAAATACCGTGATTGTACAGCCAGCGCCTCTTGGAAATTCTTTTCATAAATATAATTACATCTAATTCGAAACCGGTCGGAACTACTGCTGAGTTAAGTTGGTGAGCGTTTCGTCCTGAACGGTTTGTTTTCGTTGTTCAGCTTGGCGTCGCCAGCGACGGGAAAGCATGGGTGCGAAGAGGTCGTAGTCCAGCTGCTTCTGATACTTGTCCAAGTAGATTTGCGAGTTTTCTGCCCTTCCAAAGTGCGCCAGCACAATACTGCTGACATAGCCGACGACGACGGCGATAAGAAAGCCGATCACGCTTAGCCACAAGTAGGAAATCCGATATAACCAGAAGTAGTGAGGTTCGACGACCACTGGGCTGCTATTAGCGCTGAGTTCAGCGGCATGAGCTAAAAGAACGGTGGCATTTTCGCAGCCCGAAGTGCTGAACTCCAGAGTAACAGGTCTTGGCTTGGGTCCGCCGAAACCCATCCAGAAGGAGACAATTAGAGAGACGAGGAATCCAAGAAGAACTCCGCGCTGGTTGGTGCGCGTCGTGCAAACTCCCAGGGTGAAGATGGCCAGCAGGGGTCCGCCGACAACTCCGAAAATGGTGAGCGACGCTTGAAGAACTCCGCCTAGGGAACCGGCCACAAATGCAAGTCCGACGCAGAGCAGTCCAAAAATACAGGCCACCACTTTTGTGGGCAACGTGGACTTGGAGTCAAGGAGTGTCCGCTTAAATATCGCCTTGTACAACGGCTTTAAGTAATCCTCAAGCGTTACAGCCGAAAGTGAGGTGACGGCCGACGAAATTGTAGAGAGACTGGCAGAGAATATTCCGGACACGAAGAGGCCACACAAGCCAGGATATTGACCTGCCGGAAAAAGTACTTCAATAAGAGAAAGCTTTTTAGAATGTTGCCCAAACTCACCCATGGTGTCCAGTGCAAAAAGTGGCATCACCTGATCCCGCTTCTCAATGCGTCCTTCAAGCAGGGGATCACAGTCCCGATAGTAGTAGAAGATAGCCAGTCCACTGAAGATGGTGCTGAAGCTAAGCATTCCCAGGATGGGCAAGTTCCACCAAAGTGCCGACTGAGCGCTCTTTAAGTTGCGCACACTCAACAACCGCTGAACTTGGGTTTGGTTGACACCGTACAGCGAGAGGTAGGTGACCATGCCGCCAATGATGAGCGACCACCAGGTGTGCCTCACGGTGGGGTCCAATGAGAAGTCACTGAAGTGCACTCGGCCCCGCTCCACAGCCACCTCCCAAATAGGACCAAATCCTCCGGCTTTGATGGCCGATACGACAATCACCGCATAGATGGCGGCAAACATAAGGAACGATTGAAACACATCCGTAATAAGCACCGCTTTGAGGCCTCCCAGCGTGGAGTAGAAGGTGCAGACCAGTCCGATGACCACGATGGCCGTTGACCGCGGAATTTCAGTCACCGCCTCCAAGGCGAGAGCCGGTGCATAGAGAGCAATGCCCATGTAGAGCACCATTTGCAAGGTGAAGGCCAGAGAGGCGGATAATCGGGTTGCCTGGCCGAAGCGTCGCTCCAAATATTCGTAAACGCTGGTGGTTCGCATTCTGTAGAAAACCGGCAAAAACATATTGGCGGCAATCGGCGTGCTCAGCACATATGCAATGTTGATAACACAGAACATGGTGCCGAACTCGTAGGATTCATTGGAGACGCCCATTAAGGAAATGGCGGACATGAAGCTGGCCATCAAGCTAAAGGACACCGGAAAAGTTGTCATGCTCTGGTCGGCCATTAGATATTCCTGAGTGGTCTTCTGTTTGCCGCCCGTATAGCGGTAATAGATACCAATCAGTGCCGAAACGATCAGGATGCTGATCAGGACAGCAATATCCGATCCGTCAAATGTTCCAACAGGCATGTTTGTAAGAAAATAATCTCAGCTTATCACAGAACCGAAGATGGACGTCCGTCACTAGAGTGAATTGATTTTTCCACAAACGTCACTACCCGTGATTGGACACTGGTCGCAATGACCTTTCCCGCAGTCAATGCTTTCTAAAGTGTTCGCATAAACACGCCAGCAGGCAAAAACAACGCGAGATACGGCCGAAATCACTGCGCAGCAAAAAAAGAATCGTTCTCGCGAAAGCTTCGGCCGTTAAATAACTGATCAGCTGCGCGGCCAGAGGGACCGTATATGGTGGGTTGAAAAAGACCAGCTGGAAATCGAATATACAGCTTATCGATTGATAATGGGGGTGTTCTCCATATGGTAAAAATGTTTTTTGTTTATAATTTTTCAATAAACGATTTTAATAAAAGTTTTTAGCGTGCACCGCACTTGTAAGCAATTACCAAATGATCTTTCTGAGTTCTTGACAAGTTATTTAACAGAAAAGCACAGGAGTCGCAAAATAACCATGAAGAATTTTAGTCCGCTGGTCACATTAATTTTTCCCGCCTATTGTTTTGGACAATTGGTTTTTGTTTACATCTTTTTGCTGCAAAAATGGAATTCATGGAGGTGGATGAAAACACTCCCCAGCTGTAAGTGAAACTGATTCCAACAGTAAGAGATTTTAACCCCTTATTTTTTTAAAGATATGTTCGCACGCCGGAGGATGTAAAGGTCATTGTCAAGCACGCTAAATTGGATGAGCGCCAGCTGACCCAACTCACCCAAGCACTTTATTTTCCCTCCGCGGACGTAGATTGCGATAACCTCCGCCTCCTGGAGCTGGACGGGCACATGCTGGAGCAGATCCGCGATGGCCAGAAGCTCTACTTTAAGGGCGGCCAAAATGAAAAAGTGGTTCTTTGCACGGATGAGCGAACCTACGATGTGAAAGGTGCAGAGATATCCAACAGTCTGCTTTTGGTACCGGACCTTAAGTTCGCCGCCGCCACCAGCACCTCGCCGCTAAAGAGTCCGCGGACTGGTAATGCAAATGCCTCCCTGGAACGGAGTCTCAACGATAGCACGGAGGACGAACTGGAGGTGCCAAGAACCCTGGAACAACGGCCTGTGCTCAAGGTGTTCCACGAATATTTTGAGTGTCGCGAAATCAAGCCGCGATTCCGCAAGCTGGGGGAACTGCTACAACTAACTCGGTATTCAGGACCAGAAAATGAGTTCTGCGTCGAGCAGAAGCTTCTCTTCACACTCAACCAACTCCTGGATACGGTGCAGTGCAGCCGAGCGCAGTTTATGGAGGGGTTAAACCAATATCGAGCCATGGAGCTGGATGGCCGCATGCGTGTGATGGAGTACGAGTACGAATATCGCATAATTAACATGATGCTGGGAGTTATCAGCGAAAATTCTTGGCCTTTAGACGAAGTGGAGAGGGAGGAAACCATCAACGCACTAAAAGGCATCGCTCCAGAGGATGTTGTGGCGGGGCTCTTCGATATCTATACCACACCCAGCGAACGTTGTCCTGGAAAGTTTGAGTACCAGGAGTCGCTGGTTGCGCGGATTGTGGCTCAGAATATTCTGCAGCCAGGCTTGCGGTTCCGAAACGAGGAGTTTATGCGCACCTGGCAGGAGGCGCTACCCGAGGGCATGACCTGCGATTTGAAGTATCTTCGTGGTCTGGGCATCTGCGATAAAGAAGGAGCTCAGCCCTGTATCCGTTCGCTGGCCGAGGAGCAACTGCCCACCAACATCAACGATCGCATGAAGGCCTTGTTTAAGACCAAGCAAAGGTGGACCATGGAGGAAATGGAGCCTTACATAGAGTGAGTATGGACTACTCATTATTATAAAATTGTTTTAATTTTTTTCGTACTTTCCAGATGTTTTACTACCCCAACTTTATCCGTATCAACGCTACTAGCCAAACACGCCCGTTCATTAACAGATGGAGGCGTGCGTTACTTTGTTTCAAAGCATTAATGTAAACTGTAATAGGATAAGTAATAAGTTGGGACACACTGTAGTTCAGTGGCGGATCCACGGGGGGGTTTTATTATAAAAATAAATTTAAGGTTGTCCTAGGCATTCCTTTTGCGTTTGTTGCGATCTTTTTTAGCCTGCTTTTGATCCTCTATGGCCGCTTTCATAGTTTCCACGGCACTTTGGGTGTGACTCGTGGCCAACTGGGCTGCCTCGCTATTGGGATACTTAAAGCTAAAACCTCTGGGGAAAATGGGCTGGGCCAATAGAGCATTAAGTTGGGCTCTGACTGTCTCCACTCGAAGACGATTCCGCCTTCGCTCAATTACGAAGGGATCCTCATCCTGGTCACTGCCACTGCGTTAGAAAATGTTAAATTAAATTAATAAATTTAATGAAATTTTGTGCATGACTTACGACTCATCGTTGTAGCCATCGATGATCATGTCCATTTCCTCGGCATGCTTCTTCATCCAGCCACGCTCGCTCTGAACGCGCTTAAGCTTCAGTTCCTCTTTGTCCAAATCCCGAGCCAGATTCACGCGCTCCTTAACAGCTCCCAGGAATCGTTCCGAGATGGGGAAGAGCGGCAGATCCTCAGCTGTAAAAAATAGTTATGAAAAACCGTTTACTTTTATTTAAGCATCTACTCACTTCTCTCTAAAGTTTTGTACAACTTCACATAGCTTTTAACCTCGCCGGGTTCCATGAACATGACGGTTATGCCGTGCTTATTGGCGCGGGCTGTGCGTCCTGATCTGTGCACGTAGTTCTCGCTGGTGCGCGGCACTTGGTAGTGAATCACATGCTCCACATTCGGTATGTCCAGTCCTCGAGCAGCCACATCAGTGGCTATCAGTAAACCAGTGGGACTGTCACGGAATCGTTCCAGGTTCTTGAGGCGCTGCTTCTGGATCATGTTGGCATGCAGGGGTAAAGGATTACAGTCCAGAAGGCCAAAAAGCGTGGCCAAACGTTTCACACAATCGATGGAATTGCAAAAGACAATGGTGCGGCCGGGATGGCGTTGAATAAAGTAGTAAAGATGGTAGTCCTTATGATCGATGGGGCAAAGCAGACGACTTTCGGTTAATGTTTGGGCAGTTTCTAGAAATGTAACAATATAAGTATGGTTTCAAATAAATTCTATTAAAACTACTCACGCTGAGAGCTGGTTATGTCCACAATCTTGGGTTGCGAGATGCCCAACTCCTCGATGAGGCTCTCAATTTTTTGATCCACAGTTTGCTTTACAAACTTGGGCTTCTTGCCCACATTGCGCTCTAAAATGATAGGAATAACATTTAATTTCCAGATATTGAAGAATGATTTAGGAACATACTTTGCATGTGATCCGGAAGATCATGGACCAATGTCAGCGTGGCCGAGTAAACAAAGTTCTGGCGTTGATGCTTCTTTTGTTCGTCTGAGTTAAGCACCTTCAGCAGACTTCGCAGCTCCTCGAAGTGTCCCTTCTCCACCATGCGATCTGTTTCGTCAATAACCAGAAAGCTGACATCCTCAATCTTACCCAGATGGTGGTTTCCCTGGACGTAAAGCTCCCAGAGGCGACCAGGTGTGGCCACCACAATTTCCGGACACTGTCGAAGTACTCGCTCCTGTTTCGCAACGGCTAAACCACCGAATATAGCAGCCACTCGAATGCCTGTGTATTTTGCAGCCGCTACCAGATGATTCTTGACCTGCACGGCCAACTCCCGAGTGGGGGTAAGCACCAGTCCATATAAAGGACCCTGTTTGCGTTGGGCTTGCTCCTCCGCATCGCTTTCTTCATCACTTGCTCCGGAAACATGATCCAGTTCTTCGGGAGGTGGTGTCAACTCGTGATCATCGGCTGCCGGCTCGGGCTGCTGTCCCTTTACTTTGGGCGCCTTTCGTACTCCAAAACGGACGTTCTTTTGCTTCAGCTCCAAGATTCCAGCGAGCATAGGTATTCCAAAGGCAAGTGTTTTTCCGCTGCCTGTTTCAGCTGCGCCAAGGATGTCCTTCTTGCCGTGGATGGCAGCGGGTAGGGTTAAAGCCTGGATTTGGGTGGGACCATTAAAGCCCTGCTCGCCGAGGGCACGCAAGATGGGAGCGGGAACACCCAGCCCATTCCAAGCGGAAACATCTTCCACTTCTGCAGTAGAAATAGAAACTAGTTCTGGTGCCTCCTCTTCGCTGGAATCCTGTTGATCAGCCGACTCTTCAGCATTGGCCACTTCTTCCTCGTCGTCGGAGGGAGGTGGTCTGAGCAGGGCAAAGCGATCTGCCGCATACTCATCATTGGAATCCTCGCTGTCATCCTTTTCCTTGCCATTTGCTTTTTTCTGCTTACGCAGCTCCTTTCGCTTCTCACGCTTCTCCCGAAGTTTTTGTATCTTTTGGGCATGACGTTCGGCAAGACGGGCTTTTCTACTTTTTTTCTCTGCGGCCATCACTTCATCCTCACTTTCCGATTCACTGGAACTCTCGCTGGAGTCATCATCATCGCCCTTGGACACCTTTCGCTTTTTCTTCTTCAACTTGCGCTCCCTTTCTGAATTTCGGGAGCTAACCCTCTTCTGTGAGGATTTTACAAGGGCTGCATCGTAGTCCTTGAGGACCTCCAGTCCAATTAATCCTTCGTAGCCACCGCAATCGTCAGAAATCACGTGGCCCTTGATTTTCACCTTTTGCCAGTTTTCCGCCTTTGATACTGCTGCCTCCTTAACAGCGGCTTTTACTGCCTTTAATGGCTTTGCGGTTTTATGTTTGTTCTGAACCATAGTAATTATTTTAATTAATCAAAAATAAAATTGAACTGCAGGCCGCTGACCGCGTGTTGATTTCTGCTTCTTCTTGTCGCTGTTTGTTGACATCAGACAGGGTTGTTATTATGCTCAGCTGTTTGACGATAAGCAGTGCCTATTTTTCAGTGCTGTAAAATTTCACAGTAAAATAAAGGCATTTAACGGTTATTTAAACTTGGTTTTCCATGTTTAAATGTTTAAAAGGATTTTAAGCGCAAGCTAATATCAGAGTTTAAATAAGGTTTAAGTTTAAATTTGTTGTTTTCCTTTCAGATTCTTTAAATTCCTTTGCAAATAGTTTTAACCGCCGAAAAACTTTTAATTTAAGTTGTGTATTTTATTTACTGTGTGGTTTAATTATACAAATCAAGTTAATTCGTTAAACATTCTGCTCGCTCTAAATTTAAAAACAGTTAGCTTATGTTTGGTTTACTGCTCGCCAGTAACGCCCAGCTTCTTCTTCAGGGACTCGGGCATTTCTGGTGGTGGTGGGCGTGGCATGCGCAGGGCTACCTTGACGGCATCGTAGATGAACCACTGGGCAGCGGTCAGTGTGCCGATCATCACGATCCTAGGCACCAGTCCTCCCCAGAGACCTAAGAAAGAGAGAGTCCATTAGATGGGAGCCACTCATCCTGAGGAATCATTACTCACCAGACCAACCCAGCTGCTTGGCCACATCCAGAGCGGAGGCTCCCTTGGCCTGGTTCAGCTTGGACACCACGGTATCCGCCGGATGCGAGACGATGGCGCAGAAGACACCGGCAATGTAGCCGGCGGCGAAGGTCACCACCAGCTGCTCACCCTTGGTGCAATCAGCACGGGGCTTGGGCACCACATACTTGTACAGCAGCTCCAGTGTGCGCTCGAAGCAGGCGAACTTCATCATGGTGTATGGGATCTGTCGCATCCACAGTGGCACCAGACCCTTGTAGAAGGCGGCCACGCCCTCCTGGGCCGTCATCTTGGGCAGAGCTTCGCGCAGCGTCTTGGCGAATCCGGGCGTGGTCTGGATCTTGACCTTGGCCGCCTCCATGGGCGCCAGCGCGATATCGGCGAAGAACTCAGCGGAGGCCGAGGCAGCCAGGTAGAGTCCGGTTCTGTACAGGAATGCGTTCTCCTCGCCGATAGCATCGCCGTATATCTTCTTGAAGACCTCGTACAGGCCGAACTTGCACAGACCCTGCATCGAGTAGCCGATGAAGGTGGGTGCCCAACCCTTGGCCAGGCCTCGGACGCCCTCCTCCGCCAAGCTCACGCGGAAGCCGTTGAACACGCTCTTGTACTTGGCCGGGTCCACCTGCAGGCGGCACTTGACCAAGTCGAGGGGCACCACCATCGTGTGTGTGGAGCCGCAGGAGATGATGCCACCCAGACCGCACAGCAGGAAGTAGTGGTTCGAGCCGAACTCGCAGGAATCTGAAGTTTAGAAGATAAAAGATACAAAAGTTTTAAATAGTATTACTACTTTAAAATGATGGAGGGTAATTTTTTTAATAAATACATTGCCTTAGATAAACATCATCTATTAGATGTTAATTTAATTTAATCACTAGGTGTTCATTATAATTACCTCCTTGGGCAACAGCAGCGGCAGCGATGTTGTGGTTGGGAGTCAGCTGGCGTGGGGTCACATCCTTGAGGGATGGGGTCACCACTGCGGAGGTTGTGGGGGCGGAAGCAGGCGTGGCTGCCTGGCAGTTGACGTTGGTGAATGGCGACTTGAACGTTGAGTTCTGCGCGGCATCGAACAGGGACTTAAACATGGTGCCTTAAAAAAGTTTCTACAAAAATAAAGAAGAATGGCTAAAATACTTTTAAGGTTAAGGTCATGATGTAACCCAAATAAATCCAAAAACCAAAAAAATATAGATGCATTTCAGTTGCCTCTTTAAATTGAAATATACATATTACTTAAAATATCTAAATAATTTCACTTGACGCTTTCGCAACAAAACAATCCTAATAGACACCCTAAAATTGCAACTTCTTGTTTAGTATTGTTTATTATCTTCGTTATCTAATAAAGCTATCTCTGATTGTAAAATTGATTGTTAATTATCTTCGTTATCTAAGCAAGCTATCTCTGATTGTAAAAAAAAAAAACATAGCATTAGAATATTTTGCCTTCACATAAATTCTTCAAAATCTTTTCACTCACATCCCTTTATATCACCATAGTTTCAATATCAGGAATGTATATCTGCAATAATTTTTTACATAACTATTGTTTTTTTTCGCTAAACACTTTTTATGCATTGCGTAATGGTTTCCTCTCAGTACGTATTGAATCACTTCGTATATATTTCAAAAATATTCGCGAACAAAACGGTTTTCACCAGAACAAACGAAACAAATCACTCACTTTGAAGTGCAGGGGATCGAAGGAAGTGAAGTGCAGATAGGCCTGAAATATAGTTAAAGTAAAGAGTTGTTGTTGGGCTGAAATTTAAGGACCCAAAACAACGTTCGTCGTGCGCCAGACCAGAAAACCAAATGCAATGGCTGCAAGGGAAAATTGAGAGCTAGCAGCTTCTGTACAGGGTTGTCTAGTATGGCTAGCAAGAACCGGTTGTTAACGGTTGGGTATCGGGTAAAAAACAAATACGGAAATTTTCAGGTAAATTATATAAAGGAACTGTGATTTACACTAAGTTGTTAACGGGTTGAAAATGGTTCGGTATCGGTTAAAAAATATGCAAAACTCATGGCTAAACTATGTTAAAAAATCATGTTTTTGAATAAGTTTCTATATGTTCTAAAAGTTTAATCGGAGAAGCCACCTGACAACCCCCTCTGAATAGACATTGTTATTTTTAATTTGGCAACTTTTAGCCACCACGAGCATCTGAGAAATTGCCCATTGAGCAGCGTCTGTCTGCTTATAAGCTGTATACGTGTAAAAATAAATTCATTAACGTTCGGCCAGCTGATCGGAGGACGAGAAGTTGGCAGCTCAATCGATTCATCGGATCGCTCTGGATCAAGGTTAAGATCTTGAGGTTCTTTTCTTTTTTTTTTTTTTTGCAAAATTTAAACATTTTATTTGAAACGTACAATGCTATTATAGATGTGTAGTACTAAAATCGGTAGTTAGTAACTTTGTGGACTTAGGATCTATTACAAAAAACGGTATACGACATGGTATCTTACAATCAGACAAGTAAGTACATACATTTCTGTTGTGGGTGCTTATAAAATAAATGCTAAAAATATCGGAAGTATATAGCTGCACATAATATAGTAATACTTTTTGCAATAAATTACAGTAAAATACAATACAATACATCGATCAAAAATGGCAGAAACAATGTCATCACTTAATAGTTGGTGTTAGACTCGTACTTAGTCTATAATAGATACAGATGGGCAAAAACTGGAGTCCATCGCGAGCTTTGTTAAGTCTGGAATGGATACCCATCGTACTGGACTGGCGGCAGTTGAACTGCCCGTTTCGGAACTTACACAACTAAATTGGCAAACAAGCGGACATCTTAGGCTCTAAAACTTAACAACTCTATGTGGACTACGATTCGGCAGTTTCCATATGCCGATGCACCGTCACTGGCGCCAGGATGTAGTGCGGTCGGGCCTCATCCCCCTCGAGGGGCAACGTCGTCTGTCCGTAGACACCAACCACTCCCGCTGGCGGTCCCCGACATGGCGACGGCGTGGCCTGCACCTGCTTGTAGCGCTCCGTCTTCGAGGTCGGCTGATTGCTCAAGTACGGATGCGTGTTCGGCTGCGTGGAGGACTGCTGGCGATTCGTGGGACTCGATATGGAGGTGGATATGGACATGGTGTCCGACTTGCTGTGCCGCTTGTCGTGCAGCAGCAGCGGTTCCGCCAGCGTGAAGCACTGCTGGTCGGAGCTGTCCTCGTGCGGCGTCATTGTGCTGTAGCCGTGATCCGACTCCCCATTCGGAGGCCGGCGGTAGCTACTGCCACTGGAAACGTGATACGGCGATATGTCCGCCGCGTGCATCAGCTGCCGCTGGGCAGATGCGTGGTCATAGCCGCCACCCAAAGGCGGTTCGTCATGTGCCTTGCAATCGTCAAAGTTAAACCTGGACAGCGGCAGTCCGTAGTTCTCCTCCTGCACCGAGTCCACATAGAACTGCTCCTGCGTCTGCGCATCCAGATTGTGCCTGTAGCAGTAGATGGCGAATCCTATCACCATGGCCAGGACCACAATGGCCCCTCCCAGCGGTCCAAAGGCGGAGTAGGCGTGCTGTTCCCTCTGCGGATTGTGGGCAGCCAGCAGCTCCATCTCGTCCAGTTCGCCGTAGGGTGTCAGAGAGGCAAGAACTCCATTGAAGCAGCTAGCCTGCGACGAACAGAAGGCGGTTGAGAAGCTACTCCCATCCACATCCTGCTGACACCATTCGCAGCCCATCACACCGAGGCATTCCCGTTGCGTGGAGTACGTTTCGCACAAGCCTGCAGATCCGGGACAACTGGGCAGGGAACTGAGCAGCTGCGGCGTCGGTGGCAGTGCAATGAAGTGCTCACTTGGTGGCGGACAGTACGGGAACTGTTGTGTGTAGTTGGCAAAGTAGACAAGCGAGGACGGCGAGCTGCTGTCTGCCACCATAGGACATTCACACGGGCACTCGCAGTCCGTCTGATCCATCCGCTTGCAGTTGAGGCACTCGCGGTCGATGGTGCTGCATGGACAAAACGCACCGCCATCGCAGCTGGAGTTCAGAACGGCGGCGAAGAGGTTGCTTCCTCGGATCAGAGCTATCGCGTACTTGGTCCTTTCGCCATGCACCACGTTGCCCAGAATAGTGGTAAGAGTCGTGTTGAATGCGTAGTAACGCTGCAGCGTTCGATTTTGATAGCTGGCGCAGCCCAGTTTCCTGACCAACTGAGCGTGGTTGAGCACATCGTTGGCCAAGTACGACTCCTTGTGCGTGAGGTGCTCGTGAGGACGGCGCTGGTTCTTTGTGGGCGTAGCTGGTTGCAACATGCTGGGATGAGCAAGCAAATATCCTTCATGCTCGAACAGTAGACATTTCATGTGTGGCAGTTGGCAGATCGGAGTGCCCTCCAGGATCAGGCGGTAGTAGAAGGCATAAGGAACGTCCAGAGCCACCACTGCCACTGGCCTGTCCTGCTGAACAGAGTGTAAAGCATGGGCTTTTCCCTCGAAGATGGTGTGTGCAATGGTGATGATGTACCCAGCTCCTCCGGCATCCAGATAAGGAGCTGTGCTTACAATCTTGCCTGGCTGGGCCATCGCCTGTCGGAACCAAGGTCTTCGGGTGGGATCGTAGCTACTGCTGAGCAAACAGCCTGGATACAATAGCAGCACTCCACTCTCACTGGCCATGTACCGTCGAATGATGTGACTACGCAACGATCCTCTTGCATCTTGGTGGCGCCGTCTCAACTGCTGTATCGCCTGGTAGAGCACACTCACCTCATGCCGAATGCTGGGGCGCAGGCCCATGTTGGCCAACAAGCCACTTGAGTCGCGGAGATAGGCCATTATGGACTCAACATGTCGCAGTTGGGTTCGCGGCCTATTATTGTGCAGAAATCCGAAAGGTGACTCAAATGCGGCGGCACTAAGGAACAGAGTAGGTGCATCTGCAAGCAAAATATTGTCATAATTATGTATATTATTATTAATTTTGAATCCTACCCATTGTGGCCATTTGCCTGAAGTAGCGACAGATCTTGGGTTGGTTAGTGCCACCCTGATTGAGGTCCAAGCGGTGGTAAAGCAAGTCCATGCTTTCGCCATAGTAGCCAGGTTCATAGTTGGATACGGTATCCTTCAGGTTGTATCTTTGCGTAGAGGAAACATTGCGCAGGAAATCTCCTCCACTGCTCACCAGGCACAGCACGTAGAATCCCAGCACGGATTGCCAGTGATAAGTACGCTTAATCCGCTGTCTGCCTATATACACATCAGTAGTGGCGTTGCCGCTCTCCTCGTGCAAAAGGCGCTCCCGAATAAGACTAGAAAAGTCTGTGGCGTTTTCCAGGTAAGCGATATTTACGGGATATGAGGTCTCGCGTTGGATAAGTGGCCGTGGAAAGGCCGGATGGGCAAGAGTGTTCCCCGTCGAGCGATCGAGGAGGAAGGCGTACCCACTGCCCTGCTTGGTACTAGATGCAGCACTGGGATAGTTAAGCAGATCCTCGAGCAGATCCGCCAGGTACAAATTAACGCCCACAATGCCATACGGAGCGACGGCGTGCGTGATGGAGACCAGAACATCTGCAAGATTGGCCGTATTTAGTATGTTAATAAACTAAATACTCGCAACTTACCTCCGCTGTCTGCGTCCACAACTGGGGGATGCACCTCCAGAGTATCACTTAAATACCGCTCCTGAAACAGCTGTCCAAAGATTCTCGAACTCGTTTGCGGTAGCGTAGACTCTGCATGCATTTTGCTAAGTACAAAGAAGCGTCCTGCTAATTGAGATGCTAGCTGTCCACTGGGCCACCAGTTTGATACGTCAATTTCGTATTTTGTGTAGTTCTGTGAGGCCACGTCGTTGAGGAATTGCTTTTCATACATAATCCGCTTCTCATCCAGTACTACAGCACATGTATTAATGATCACTGGAGCTCTAAGCTTTCTTTGCCCATCGGCCACCACTCGCAGAACGGCCATCGCATCAGATAAATTTGTCAGAAGACCACGCGTAACGTAGACGAATTCCACAGGTTGTTCTGCCGTGTTAATCATTCCCGATTGCTGTAGTCGATGTAGCAACCCGAATGCGTACTCAAATCCCAAAGTGTGATTCGTGAGAGCTTGTGCCCTGTTAAGGTTGTTAATGTAGCTGAAGATCTCCTCTTTGTGGGCACGAGTTGCACTGTATATCCCGTGGCCAGCCTCGGCTGAAAAAGCATCCAGGGACATAAAGTTCGCCTCACTAGAAACAGTCACCAGTGAAACTTTATCCGTATCCTCCAGCAGTTGGAGCATTTCATGAACTAAAAACAAATAAATTGTAGTTAAAGCCATTAAATAAAAGTCTTTATAATTACCAAAGCTTTTTGTAAGGTCGAATAATTCTGCGTTCAGAGCCGATCCCACATCTATGAGGAACAGCACAAATTTTTGCTTAATAGACGACACGTATAACTGACGGAAATGCAGAGTAGCTGAGGCTCCGTCCGAATTGGACAGAAAATAGATATGCTTGAAGTGGTTGCCGCTGCTGGGCTTGCTATTCGAGTTGTCTGCATCGCTCCGGCTGAGCCTGCGTTTGAGTTGAAGGAGTTGTTTGGATATGTAGTCATTAACAGCCAGGGAGCGGGCATTGTTCTCGTTCAAGAAGGTCGCTCTGGCGTCATCTGACTTCAGATAGTTTAGGATTTGAATCTGCTGCTTGTTGTAGTGAATCGACTGGGTCGAAGAGGAACCGTACTCTATATCAGGTTCATAGTCCGGCTGGCAGTTCTCTATTTGGCTGTTTAAGTAGAGCTGCAAGTGCTCGGAGGATGGTGAAGCCGTGTTCCTGGCTTGCAGATCTTCCAACTCCATTTCCAGGTCAAGTTCGCTCTCCGACTCCTCCTCTTCGTCGTCGTAGCTGTATTGCCACACCTTGGTAAGATTGTACCGAAGGAGGTCTCGCAGCTCCAGCACCACGTGGGTGGCTTTTTGCAGTTTTTTGCTCAGGCGGCTGCTGAACGTTTGCAAATCCCGCTGCAGCTGGGGATTACTCCGGTTACTGTCGTTGCTCGGAGCTTGACGAGTGAGAGGGGCTCCGTTAACGCTGCTGTATTGCATAGAGTCAAAGATTTCCTGCAAGAATAAAGTATATTAAAGCTGGTTTTGGTAGAGCTTGGTGTGTGGATAACCCACCTGGATTTTAGCCACTCTCATCTCCATACTGCGAATGTTCCGCAGCTTGCCCTCCATGCTGTGTCGCAATTGCATTGCATTCTGCTGATTGTGATTGACAAAGAAGACGCTCGCTGGAGACTGCTGCAGGGGCATGAACCCCGGGTCCGTAGGCACTTGGTTGCTAGTTAAGTTGGCTATGGCCAGAGGAACTTGTTGACAGCTAGTTGGGCACGCCACCACTGCGAGGATGAGCAGCGCGGCGTGGATGCAGCCAACGGGCCACATGGTTTTGGGGTTTCCGGCGGGTTCCGTGGCCACTGGCGCATAATAGACAGTTTACCGCATATCTGGAAGGCAATGCATTTTTAAAATACGTTGATCAATTTCTTGCATGTTTTTTTTTACCACGATCTCCTCGAGCTGCACGCTGCAAGTTTATGAAATTTCGTCACATAAATCTCGTTGATTTCTTAGTGTTATGCATTGCAAACACGCGTACATTGCTCTTTATCACTCGGTCTACACATAGTTAACAAATAAATCCACGACCTCTTCTGATTTAGCTTAATAAATAAACAAGTTCTTTTCAGTTTTTGTAGTTTTTCTCAACATTCCATTCGTACAGTGTGACCGTGTCTGTGTCCGACTAAAATTACCAGAATAATTGGTGTGGCTGTATTTCTAAAAGATTTGAAAGTTCAAATGCGGTAACCCTAAAAATAACGTAGTTTTAAAAGCAAAACTCTAAGAAGATTCTCATTTAAAAATAAAAGAATACAAAAAATGTGTTTAAATTTCACATATCCTATAAAAGTTATTATGTAAAAATGAAGTGTGACCTATCAACTTAAAATTAATTAAAACTGAATGAAATCAACAAAATCATACTTTCCCTTTTACTTTTATGAGCATTTACAAATTGACAACCGTTGACAAACTTCTGTGCGCGAGACCAAAATTTGAGCCTTTGCCAATTATTCGCTCATCCGTTGTCAAGGTTGTGTGCATTCAATTCTTTTTTGTTTTTGTCGGTTGGATACGTGACTATGTAGTCTGAAGATGGAACAGATGCAGTTTAATTGGTGTCAGACTTACACGATGCGTGTCCGGCATAACAAGGCGTCCATTGGATCCAATTGTTCAATATAAAAATGAACAGGTCCCAAACATTGCACCGCAGTTTCAGTTGCAACGTTCGTCAAAATGGTGACAAAGGTATGATATAAATTCAATCGTTATATATAGCTGATTTTAATATCTTTTAAAAGATTCTTCCGTTGATTGCATTTCTGGCTATTGTTCGAGGAGAAGTAGATCCTTCAAATGGGCGAAGAGCACCGTATGCCCCAGCTGGTTGGCATCCAAGGATTCCTTTTAACTTACCCAACGAGTATTTCCCTCCCATCCGTTCAAGTCAGGGTGTGGAAATCACCAAGGCAAGAGTGGATCAGATCCATCCAGTGGAGAAACCTCAATCGAATTATCTCCCACCACAACAAGTGGATATTCCTGAGGAAGAGATTTCCCCCACCCCCCGACCGACCAACCAGTACGGTCCACCCAATCCTGGTTTTAAGATCATCTATCCCGATGAGGAGGCAGTCGCTGAAAAGGAATCCACTGATGACCAGCAACCGAAATTAAGAGAGGGCCGATACTTCATTATCTCCAAGGATAATATACTCCAGAGAGTTACTTTCAGCTCTCAGCAAAATGAAAATGAAAACGATTTTACTGCTCAGTTGAGTTACTCAACGGTTGGTCAGCTCAAGGATCCTGTCTATCGATACAACAACCATGGTCAATTGGAAAGAGTCTTGAAGTAACTTATAAATCGCTGAATCACTGAATATTTTTGCGTGTGTTTACCACAATAATAATAATACATTTTTTAATGCATGAAAGCCCTCTACCTACTTTTAATTATCTATTAAAAATGCAACAGGGAAAAAATGCAACAACCAGCAATCAATTCATTCAATAAATAACACACCTCGGGTTTTTGTTTTTTGACTTTGTTTTATACAAAAATGCTTCTTTATTCATTTAATAATTATTAAATATACACAAAAATCTCATAAGTTCGTTTCACTTTCGAATTTCCATTTTCGTTTAAAAACTAAATACAATCCTTATGCATGTATGTATGAATGCGTAATGGTCATGGTGTTTGTGAGTGGTGTGTTGTTGTGTGTGTGTGCGTAGACTAACACAAAATGAAGGCGCTTAAACAAAACAAAACGGCAAGGAGTTCCAGGCGTAGAGACAGGAAACGGTATAACGGTAGAACGGTAAACGGTTGCGAAACGGAAACGGGAAAGGAACGCGCCTGTCTATGGCAAAATGGCGGCCGTTCCACTAAAAGGTTAAAGACGTAAGGATAGACTGACTGCGATCGCTGGCTCTCTGGCTGGATGTGCGTTTAATACTCGGCCAGCGATCCCATGAAGTAGACGAGTATAGTTGCTGGGTCGACCTAAATCGGGAATCGGGAAGGATACTCCCATCACCCGCTTCAATAGCCGTTGAACTTGCCCTGCTGCGCGTTGCTATCGTAGCCACCGCCATTGCGTCCGTTTCCGTTGCCATTTCCGTTTCCGTTGCCATTGCCCACCTGCTCGTACCGGATGGTCGGGCGGTATCCGTTCTGATCGGCCTCGTACTCCACGATCTGCTTGCGGCCATCGGGCAGCAGGACGTAGTAGCGACCGACGGCCAGATCGCCATCGCGGGACTCCATGTGTCCGAAGTCATTGCCCGACTCGTAGTCCTGCACGTCGTACTTGAACTCGTACTTGGCCGGTCCGTACTGCTCCTCATCGCGCTGTCCGTAGCCGTTGCCATTGCCGTTTCCGCCGCCATAGCCGCCGTTTCCGTTTCCGCCCTTGAAGATGGCCCCCGTCAGCGCGGGAGCACCATACTGACCCTGGGGAGGAGCGATCGGGGCTCCGTAGCTGTTGCTTGGCGCTCCACCGCCACCGGTACGCTGGGGTGGCAAGTAGTTGTTAGAGGGCGACTGGAAGCCCTGCGTGGGCGGCAGATAGTTGTTGGACGGCGCCTGGGGCGACTGGTTGGGCGGCAGGTACTGGTTCTGGGGCACTGGAGGTTCCGCATGGGTCCAGGCGGCCAGGCAGACGAGCAACGCGATCGACGTAAAGCACTAAAGGAAGAGATTTCATGAGGATCTTTTAAGTCAGGAAAACTATCACCATTTAAATATAGCACTCTACGCTTAAACACTCTAACTCAATCGAAAATTACTCTAAATTTTAACTCCCAGTATTTTTAACTCTTGTAAGATAAAAACTAAACACTTTTAGCTATGACCGATTCGGATGAGACCGCCTGGATTCACTGGTTCTGCAAGCAGCGCGGCAATGAGTTCTTCTGCGAGGTGGATGAGGACTACATCCAGGACAAGTTCAACCTCAACTTCCTAGACTCGAATGTGAATAACTATCGCTGTGCGCTGGAGGTGATCCTGGATCTTAATTCGGGATCTGCCTCGGATATGCCCGCAGAACCGGAACTGGAGGCCAGTGCCGAGAAGCTGTATGGCTTGATCCACGCTCGCTTCATTCTCACAAATCGAGGAATCGAGCTGATGCTGAATAAGTTCTACAAGGGGGAGTTTGGTACTTGTCCCCGAGCCTTCTGCCAACGACAACCTGTGCTGCCCATCGGATTGAGCGACAATCCTGGCGAGGAAATGGTCCGCATCTATTGCCCCAAGTGCAACGATGTTTACTTCCCGAAGGCAGCACGCCATTCCAATTTGGATGGGGCCTTCTTCGGCACAGGATTCCCTCACATGCTCTTCATGGTGAATCCGGAGGCAAGGCCCAAAAGGACCAAGCAGAAGTTTGTGCCCAGGTGAGACATTCTAGTGAGCTCTATTAATAGTTCTTCAAGATGCTAAGTAAAAAAAATGATATCTTTATATGCTCGCAGGCTTTATGGCTTCAAGATCCACCAGCTGGCCTACCGATCACCGAATGATCTCTTCAAGGAGACGCCAGTGCAAGACATCGATTCCCCAGCTCCCCACCTCTGATCCCTTATGCGAAATTTCTCATGTGAAACTGTCTTGTGCCCGTTGTATAGCTACTGCTTTTTTTTTTTTTGGCTGGTTGGCTTTTTAGCTCATTAAACTCTCATAACCATAACTGCGCAGGCTGCGACCAACTTGACAATCTTTTGTTCGGATTTGATGGCTTGCGAGCAGGGCCAGAATTTGGCTTTGTCTTTCCCATCTTTACAGCATTTAACCGCGGCATATGCAAATCTGCGGTAATTGGGTCCCAGGTGAAGCTCTCATCGGATTGGATTTAGTTTTGGCTGTTGGCTGTCGGCTGAGCTGCAAGTGAAGGGCTGATCTCCCTCGCGCTTGCGCAATGCGTTTGAATGTTAAGTATACGCCGTGTGGCGCGGCCAACCTGTGGGAGAACCTCTCTTGCGCCGAGGCTTACACAACTTATTTCCGAATCTTGTGCAAAAGATCTTCTGCCCGAGTATTTGGGCCCAGGGCCTTCAAATACTTTCATGCTTCATTGGCGTTAAAATGCTACGCTTGGAACTGCTTTTTGGCTGCGCTTTTGTCTACTTTTTATCGCCGCCTGGTCATCTCCAGACTGCCGTACTTGGGCATGTCCAGTAGTTCTTCTTCCGCCACGTAAAGCTTCTCTAATTTATGCATTGCAAAATGACCCCAAGCAGCAGCTGCTACTGTTGCCTCTGTTTGCTGTCCACACCCTAGAAACTCACTGGGATCGCTGCCTGCAATTGTTTCCCAGGCGGATGAGATCGGTGTCGTGTTCTAATTTAGCAACCTACCAAACGAAAGAAAAAAACCAGTAGCCACCCCGACAAATTGGCGATCTTAGCCGTGATGATGGCAGCTTATGAAATTTATTATGCGGATCTCCGCTTGATTAATCGCCCTGCTGAACTTGACTTTTAATATGGCTCAAATATTAATGTTTCACATCTTCGCTTTCCGATATCCAAGTGACTTGTGAGACAATCAAGGCTTCATTAGCTTGAAGAGTTGGTTAATTGATTGATCGATGTATTGCCAAAAATCGATTTTAAATGAGGGCTATTGATTGGATTGTAAGAAATTAAAAATTCAATTTTTTAACACGTTTCTAGCACCTTTGCGATCGAGATTAAAATATGAGGTCGTTAAGACAGCTATTTTGTGCTTAAAGATTGAAACAGGTCTAAGCCACAACTGCTAATGTTTTCCTTTGAAAATCTTTGAGCTTTATAAAAGAATTATAAATATTTAAACAGTGGCGGATCCACGGGGGGGGGAAATTAGGAAATTTCCCCCCCTTGGAACCACAGAACCTGAAAATTTTACTTGTTTGCTATGGTTGACTTTTCAAATATCACCACTTTGCTTACCAAAAAATTGGGATGGATAATTTTTGTTTTATAATTTGTACTGTATTTCTCTCGCAATAATAGGTTTGAACCTCAAATCGAAGAATAAGTTCAATTTCCCCCCCGAAGAATCGTCTCTGGATCCGCCACTGATTTAAAAAACCAAATAAAGGACCAAATAAATATTAAAAACTGGTCGTAAAGGTTCTAATTGGCTTGAAGATGATGAAAAGGATAGGCATTTTACTTATAAGCTGTATTTTAATTCACTCCTTTTTAAGGTTTTAGTTGCAATCCTTTAATATGCTATAGCTTTCTGGTTCCTCAACAACACCACAAAGTTTTCTCCTGGATATGGATACTAAATGAATCCTTTGGTTTTTCTGCCCATATCCTTTTGCGAGGACTTTTTGCGCACAGCACACCACTTAACACTTGACAGTTCTAGATGGCTATGTACCTTCATTTTGTGTTGTCACTTGTTTGGGATTTTGGCACACACGAAAACGGTTGTTTGTTAACTTGCTCTGTTGGCTGTTGTTCTTCTTGCGAAGATGGTTGACTTGATTGTGATACTGAAACAATTTCGTAGGCCAGTATTTATATTTGAAATGAGCGGCAGCTAACGCTGCAGCGTCGACGTCGACTTCAAAAAATTGCGCGCCAAAATGTGTTTTTTTTTTAGTTTAGTTCAGTTCGTTATTTCAATTTTCGGGCAGTCGAGAAAAAAAGAGTGCCACAGCCGAACGAGCACTCGAAAACATTACAAAATAATGCAAAGCACGGAGCGGAGGAAGAGCAGATTGCTCTCAGAGTTTGCGAGAAAAGAGGGAAATCGCCTGGGGAGGTTTGTTATAGTAAACTAGTTACTTTGAAATTAAAGCGCCAAACATTTTGACGATCCAGCTTCGTTTTGTGTTCGGCAAATGAGCGAAGATGAGTGTTGCGGCGACATCCAAACAAATGAGACGAGGGAGTACCATCCAACTCCGCGCTCCTGCGGCTGCAGGCCATAAACATTTGTTGCCGCTCGTGTAATAGCAGAAACACTTATTTGTAATGGAATTAGTCATGCAGCGAACGGCGACGCAGGCAGCAGAAAAACAAAAAAAAACAGCAGCAGCAGCAGCAGCGAAGTGAGCGGTGGCAGCCGCTCCACGCATCTTCATCTCGGATCGCGGGCTTTAGTCTTGTGGCAGCCACAGCAGCGTCTGCCTCGAAAAGCGATACAAAACAAAAGACTCAGGCAACGAACTTGCTGCAGGCCCCATGCTTTCGGGTTATGCTGCTGCAAATTGTTTCCCCCCTGTTTGTGCGTGGGAGTTTTCGCTGGGTTTTGTTCGGTTTTGTTTTTCGGCACAACTAATGAGCTGGATTATGCCCCAGAGTTCACAGATGCGGCTGTTTGGATTGGCGTTGACATGGATTCAGATCGGATAATCTGCAATTGAGATGTGAGCACAGCGAGGGAAAAACGATTTCAAAACGATTCGCAGATACGTTATCTGGCTGGGAAATCTGCGCTCCTGTGTCAGAAATTTTAATTGAAATTAAACTGAACATTAGAAAAGATTTCCTTGTGTTGTAGAAAATTAAAAAATTACTATCTATACAAATTATAAAATTGTTATTGTTTTGGCGTTGACATTAATAGTTCACATATCAACACATCAAAATAGGAAATGATAGTGCATAATAAAATAAGGAAATCAATTAATTTCTTTAAATAAATACAGCTCCACCCGTTCCTTTTTAATCTGAAAAACGTTTTAAAGATGATTTATAACTTAAAAATTTTTTTATAATACCCAGAATGACATAAAATGGATTTAATTCGTTTTAGATGCAGAAGAAATAGAATGATGGAAATGTGGATACAAATTTTAATTAAAGTTTTAATATCTTCAGAAAATCATGTCATTATATCTGCTTATTTAACTGCAGTTATGATTTATCTTCTCTACATATCAAAAACTAAGAAAAAAGTTTCAAAAGAACAAACCAATTCAGCAATAAAAAAAAACTTAAACGCAATTAATTTGATGTCCTTGATAATTTTAATCAAATACAAATCTTTAAAAGTTTGACACCAATGACCACACGTATTATTTATTTCTTTATTTCCTGCAAACTCAACATAATTATTCAATAGTTTTGAATGTTTGTTTATCCCATTAAAAAGTCGATTGCATAACACAAAGAAAACTTGACCTCTTGAAAAATACTTGAGCAGAGCACTTGACAACAGGGAAAAGTAACTCAATATTTTTATTGCCATATTCCATGTTCACTCAAACAGTGGGCGTAGCATCCATCACGATCTGCAAATATTTCTTTGGTCAATTGTCTTCGGCTCATTGATCGAATGCGTAGCAAAAGATTGCTGATTTTTTGGCAGGCATTTTGCTACAACGGTCTTTGCTCATTATGCGATTTGGCACGAGCTGACTTTCACATTCGATAATGCCAAGTTTATGAGTTGTAATTTCAAAGGCCAGGCGATGCCCCGCCCCAAAATGAGCTGGAAGTTAATGGGAGATTGATGGAAGGGATGGAAGGATCGGGGGATGGATCTGAATAGCTTCCTCGCTGCGAATTCCATTCCGCAAAGTGCTTTTCTGCAAGTAATACTCGACCTTGCCACAGACCACAATAAAAATAAATTGGAGAATAAACTCCGAAAGTTGTGTAATTGCCAAGATCATTTGAAGTTATGTTTGCAAATATGCGAATGCGAAAAATTATAATAAACAAATAAACAAAAACTATAACAGAGCAAGGCAGTCGGCGTATAATTGCTAATATGAATCTTGGATTGTAAACAAAAACAATTAAACAAATCTTCGCCTTGCCGCATTCCTTCCTTGCCCCACTCCACTTCACTCCGATCCACTCCCTTCTCGGAAACAAAAACTGAAATTCATATTCAATAGCACTCCATGAACAACTTGAAATCTGTTTTCGTTGCTCAGTTTTCATCGTCTTCTGGTTGTTTTTTTTTTTTTTTTGGTTTGGTTTTTTACTTACGTTTGTAATCATTTTTCCAGCACATTAAAAAATCATTTAATTTCCTGCATCGGCTAATTTACATTGAACGTGCCAGACGGAGAGGCCAGGCCATCCGAATGGAGAGGGAAGCTAATGGCACCCAGCCAGGTGATGATGCGCCAAGTCGAAGACAATGACGATTTGTAAATTTGTAATTTCTGATGGCTGCTCTAGAGCTCGAAGCTCGAGAGGGGCGGACCTTGAAATACATACAACTGCCCGAAATCGAGTCGAAAACCGTATTCAAATCGGTGTCCGTAAACGTATCTGTATCTGTATCTGTAGCTGGGAGATCCGTATCTGTGTTTGTTTTGTAACCTAGAATGCTGACGAGTGGTTCGCCAACGTATAATTTAAATTAAACTACGATAATTTACTGATGCAATGCCCCCCCGGCGGACGGAGCCGTGGACCCGCGGACAGAATCAATTAAGGCATCTTTTGATGTAAATTGCGCCTCACTTCAAAATATCGAGGCACTCTAAAAGATGATTTTTCGAGAGTGACTTCTGCCGGGGCTCAGCGATCTTCGCATACACACCGACTGCATTTTTCGCCCGATGCGAAGGTCGCTGCCTTTTGGCAGAATCGGAGTAAAAGTCGCTTGACTCACACACAAAATTGACAAACGTTGACATTTTGGAAATGCTCCGAAGTGAACCGAAACGAAATGGATGTGAGTAAGCTGGGTGTGGGTGCATGATGGCAGGGATGATGGATCTCAGAATATGACTGGTTCTCATTATGAAAACTGTTTATAACGGGTGATAATTTATGAAAGTAAACTCATTAGGCTCTTGGGAAATAAAATAATGTAATAATTAAATTAAATTCATTTTGAATTTGTTTTATCTAAAACAAATGTATTTATATGAAACCCTAATGGAAACCGAATTTAAAACCCCAGCTTGTATAACTATTTTATTTACAATTTGTATGCAAACCCGGCAGTTATTGATAACATTCCGTCAAGCGAATAAGCAAAACACGAGAAGGTCGCACCTGGGAATCCGCTGCACTCATCCTCGACGGTTCCACTCACCTTTGCCATTTGGGCAATGGACCCGATCTCGATCGGTCTGCACTTCAATGTCTGTCATAAAAGACGCATTCGTAGTGCACTCCATAAAGTAATTACACTCTCACACAGTTGCCTCGTGCAGTTGGCCAAATTAGTTGTTGCCAGTGCCCCATTCATTGGAACCCCAGCTCTTGGCTCTTGGCTCTTGGATCTCAGCACTCCGGATAATTAAAACGTAAGCGAGGCAATTAAACTTGAAACAGAACGATGGGACAGAAGAAGACGCTGCTCGAACCGCAACACAGGCATTCCGATGGAGCTCAATCAGAGGCAGGGAGGTGCGATGATTGATGGGGAACTAGAACACTCAGAAAAATACTACCTAAGCTCTAAATATAGATTCTCTAGATCCCAAAAATTATTCAATTTGTATAATTCTTTCTGTTTAATAGTTCCATAAAAAAATAAGCATCAACATATTTGTTAATTATGGAAATAAATCAAAAATCTTTTACAGCTAAAATTTATATAATGGAGTGCTAAATTTCCTAGTAAATGTTGAACTTCTTTTAATACCTAACTCCCTATCACTTAGGAATAAAATCATAATTTATGTGCTTTTGATTTATGAGTTTCAAACAGTTCGAAAAGACTTTTCACGTGTAGACACACACGTTACCAAAGCAAATAAAAGACCGCGACTAAACATTGCATTTTGTGGGCGATGGGAGCATGGGTCCTGTGATTTATTTACGGCCCCAGCGGTCATAAAGATTGTTCCCACTGCCAGTCAAGGCAACAAATGGTGGTGTAGCAGCTACCGAAAAATGTTGCCTTTGTTCGGGGACTGTCTGCAGAGCATTTCGGCCATTGTTACACAACCCCTGATTTGGTTTGAGCCACATTAGATGGCCGAAGCCAAAATCAATTGAAGAACGTTCGACGAGTGCGTGCCCCATTGCAGAGTGCTCGGTTTTTGAGGTTTTGCCCCACAGGTCACCGCCAACTGAATGGCCCATTGTCTCTGGCCCTGGAATGCCGATGAAGATTGCACAGGCGATAATGTGACGGAGTTCGCGGCTAATCCGCCAGAGAAGCGCTACGTGTGGATCAACTCGACGCCACTTGTAAGAACTCGAGCGCCGACTACTCGTATGTATTGTACATACATTCTCTTGCGTGGGGGTCAACCTGTTTGAATTCACTTGGTTTTGATTTGATTGGCACTTTCTGCGGGCCTACCCACGTCAGCACTTTGGATTCCAAAACTGAATCAGTGCACATATTAATAGACGAGCAAATAGTGCCTACGATTCTCGCACGCTCCCATATCGATGGGCACTCCGATCCGACTTCCGCCTTCCCAGCGAAACTCATCGCGGTCCGCGAAGAAAAGGTTGGGCCATCTATCCGTGGCACTGAACCTCGGCGGCCTCATCCTTAGCTCTTTTACCATTGACATTGAAACTCTGACACGCTGGAACGAGCC